CATACGATAAGACCTTAGGGTCTTATCATTTGGTATCAGAGCCTACGATAAGACCTTAGGGTCTTACCATTTGGTATCAGAGCCTACGATAAGACCTTAGGGTCTTATCATTTGGTATCAGAGCCTACGATAAGACTTTAGGGTCTTATCATTTGGTAAGTTCGTTTCGAGGGGATCGGCAAACACCTTGATGTTCTCCTTGAGATAGCATCAACTAGTTGATCGATTTGGGGGTGAGGGTAGCTATCCTTCAAACATGCTTTATCGAGATCAATATAGTTAACACACATTCTCTAATTTCTATTAAACTTTTTAACCAATACAATATTAGCAATCCATTAGGGGTACTGTACCTCGATAATAAATCCTGCTCCTGACAGCTTATCTACTTTATTGCTAATTGCTTGCTAGTATTCAAAAGCAAACTTATGAGGCTTTTGCTTCACAAGTCGAGCCTCGGGGGAGATGTTCAAGTGGTGTTGGGCCACGTAAGAATTTATTCCTAGCATGTCTCTCGGTGACCATGCAAACACCTTGATGTTCTCCTTGAGAAAGTTGATAATCTACACTCGCTTCTTCTCATGAAGTGTCACCCCGACCTTGATAACCTAATTAGGATGAGCCTTGTCCAAAGGTGTCTTAACTAATGGCTCCATTAGCTCCAGATGTGAAAGAAATTTATCAAAATTCTAAGGGTCTAATAATGGTGCCTCGGACCGGGCCTTTTTTAGTAAGGAGAATATCATCAGATACCACTAGCAAGACTCCTTCGGATTGCTTCTCAACTCCCTAACACCGGTCCTTCTTAGGAATTTCATCACTATGTGGTAGGTCGACACTATAACCTTTAGCCTATTTAGCATAATTCATCGTATGATTGCATTGTAGTAGGGTTCATTATCATTTTGGAGCATGGGTCATCGTCGAATGTGATGTGTAGGTTCATAGTCCCGAGAGGAGAGATGGAGTTATTAGTGAATCTCATCAGTGAAGAAGTCATAGGGGTGAGATTGTTTGCCAAGAGCCTAAGTTTTTAAAAAGCGTCAAAGTAGAGGATATCGACAGAGTTACCTATGTTGATCATGACTCATTTTACTCGAGCATTAATCATCCTTGTGGAGACTACCAAGGCATCGTCATAGTTTGGGTCGAGGTACTCCATCTCTTCTTCTTTAAAGATTATTTCTGAATCATCTTCTAACCTTAGGTACTTATCAATAGTGGCTTAGGCATAGGCTTTGCGACCCGATAAGCTATCTCCTCTCGAGGTAAGTCCACTGATGATAATATCGATATGTCCTTTCACCAAACTCGAGCCTCCAAACAAGCCTCCCGAGTTGCCCTCAATAATGAATTCCTCGATTTGTTCCTTCAAATCACGATAGTCCTCCTTGCCATGGCCATAATCGTAGTGGAAGCGACAGTAATTAGATTTGTCCCTCCTCTCCAATGGTGTCTTCATCGGTTGAGGGTCCTTCAAGAATATATTTTTTAATTTATAAGAAGATATTGATTTTCGTCATGTTCAGGATAATCCACTTGGACCTTGGGTAAGGCAGCTCGAGTTGGTCATGTTTTCTTTATCGTGGTGGCCTCGAGGATGAAGCTAACGATGGTTACTCTTATCGTGGCCTTTTACACGTCTCTTAATACTTAGTTGAGACTATTGCCTCTACGGTTATGTATCATTGGCTCTTTAGAAGACCTTGGGTATCATCGCTAGTGGCATCTCCACCAATGACTAGAAAAGGAAAGAGAACTAAGGCTTTATCATGAAGGCTTGAATCACTAGTGATGAATGGGCTTCTTGCATACCTCAAATTTTGTTAGTGAATCGAACAATGAAGTCGGAGAGTATCTTTTCCTCCTTTTGCCTGAGTCCGAGTAACATCATTGTCGATGTCCTTAGGCGTATATTCCCAAAGAAGTAAAGCTTAAACTCTTCTACGAGCTAAGCAAAGGAGTTGATTGAGAGTGGCTTCAAGCGAGTGTATCATTCTCCTATCAAGCCTCTCAGCATTGTTGGAAATGTGCAACACATCAGAACGTCTGAGATGACATACAGAGACATTTAAGCGCGGAAGGTAATAATGTGCTCTATCGGGTCGGTACTATCATCAAAGGCCTCTGGGGATAGGGGGCAGAAGTTTATTGATATTGATTTCTCTTGGATGTTATAAGTGGATGGGGACCGACCCAATATGGGATCGATCAAAGCTCTCCTATCTGGATTGTTAGAACTCTCACCGTATCTCATCTAAACATTGATCCACTTGCCATAGTTGGACCCTTAGGGAGTCATCTATCGAATATGTTAATCATGTCTTGAATTCGGGTAGAGCAACGCGATGGTGCGATGGTGCACTGAACTCCATGGTTAAGGAGCTGGGCACTCCTTTAACTAGTAGTTCAACATGCCTTGGACGATATTAAGATGATAGCTCGCATTAGTTGGGAGGATTCCAACAGATGCTGGTACTAGTGACAGTTGAGGTGTCGACCGTAGTTGAGATAGTGGTGTCCCTTTTTGGGTTAGCTGAGGCATGAGTGGAGCGATAGCCTATATCATGTCTGTGAGCATCTGCACATAATAGATGAGGTTCAGAAATACCTTAGCAAGGACGAGCAGGTGGCTCAAGTTCATCTCTAGGGTTGAGAAGCTTAGGTTATTGAACAAATGCTAGTATCGTATAGACGTTTTGTGTCAAAGTGGATGCATCCACATGTGGAAAGGATAGTAGTTTCCCCCTTGAGTAGAAGTACTATGGATTAGAGGTAGAGCTCCTCACTGGAGCATTCGTTGAGAGGATTGATGGTTGGACGTTCCTATGATATTAGGCCTTCCCAACACCAAAATGTCAGGGGAAATCATCGTCCACATCTAAGTCAACTCAACATGGCCCAAACTCGAAGGCGTAAGAGTATCCAAAGTAGCTTTGAGGTGGCTCCAAGGTGAAAGCATTGAGCTCTCGAGGCACCACCTATATTAAGATCAATGTCGGGAGTGGTTTCTAGACCAGATCCCACTGATGCTCAAGTTAGTTATCGAGGACTTAATGAGTACGAGTCTTTTCGGAAAGAGAGCCCCCTGACATAATGTTAGAGGTTAGCTTTTATATATGGTCCACGAAGGGGACAACTGGTAATCGCCCCAACATTCCCCTTTGACATTTTATCCACATGGGTGATAAGAGTGAGGTAGGCCTGAACCACCTCCCTTGGACTGTTGTCCACACAAGCAAATAAGCAAAGGGTGATTGAGACATTTTTTTTATACTAGCCTCTATTTGGTGACTATATACCGAATGATGATTGATCGTTAATATGTTATCTGTTAATATTATATTTATATTAATATGGTCTAAAGATAATTGACATGCGTCGAATCTGGTCAATGATAAGCCCTAAATTTTTAAGTCTTTCACTTCCCTTCTTCGTTAATATCTGTATCATCATCGCCCATAATGATAACATCACACAACATGGGACAATGCTGTCCCATTGATCGATAGTTGTTGGGTCCACAAGTGGGACCGAGGTGCCAATCCTGAGAGGCCTTTTTTTGATGTCACTTCGTTTTGCTAAGACATGCAAGTGGTGATGTCGCACTGACTATGAGGCCCTTACCAAAAATATAGTCACTGAGAAGAACACGTAAGAAGAGAGAACTTTGGGGTGAGTTCTTTGGTAACATAAAAGTCAAAACTAATAAGGCAAGTCACATGTGGAATTGGAGGAGGTAAGGAAACTAAATCGTTGGTGGTCGCATGGGCTCAAACCTAACTCGAGTCTATCTTTGTTTCTTAGGTGGGCTCCACTTGCCACCACTGCCCTGTCTACCTCATTCTTGTAATTTCATTAAGTACTTGTTGCCCTCTAATTAATTATGTACTTGAGTTATGATTTCATTTTAGTAGTGGAAAAAAGTTTGAAAAGATGATAATAAAACTATTGAAATAGATAATGAGTATAAGCAATTAGTTACTACCTGATAAGGAATATATAATCAATTAATCATCACTCGCCACATCAATATCAGTTAATCATCTCGAATAATTCTACATATACAAATTAGAGCTATATAAGATTCACAACAACGTAAATATAATTTAATCTAAAGACTTACTTAAAAAAATCTAAATATTTTCTCATTTAAATAGCTATCATAGTAGGAGAATATATCTCAAATTAAAAGATTTAGAAATTTCTAACGTAAATAACAAAAATGGGAGGATTTATGGATAAAATCAAAAGAATTTATGGATGATGTATAACAATTTTATTTTTTTGTCAAAAATAGTTTCATTATTACTTTAATCATGTGTAAGTACGTATGATGTTGCAAAAAAAATCAAAAATCTTATCATCAATAGTCAAGATTTTTATTAGTTAAATTGGCTTAGTTATTTGAAATATTAAAAAAATATCAGAACTATTTCGAACATTTAACTTCTGATAAATAAATAAATAAATAAAATTTAAGGTTTTAGTAATTAATTTAAGAATTCCAAAGATTTATAGAAACCCCTTAATTTCCATATTGCCGCCCACACAAACATCGTTTGCCACATAAGTAGCTCACTTTTTGTCATCTTGACCTTTTTACCCAATGCAAGCGGAACTCTACTTTTCCTCATTTACTTTATATTCTTGATCGGTCCGTCGACATACCCCTCTCTTCTTCGCCGTGGCCGCCTTCGACTCCTCTCTCGCATCCGTCTCGCGAGGAAGCCTCCCTCGACGATCTTGTCTCCTCCCAATCGCAGCCAACCCATCGTCGGTATCGTCTTCCTTTCTTCCCTTCCCCCCCTCCCAATTCGACGTTCTTGGTTCTTTCCCATTTCGTTTCCTCCGTATTTGATGCGTGCATCAACCCGGTGAGGCTCGATCCAACTGTCATGTAGTTTGTGCATTCTTTTTTATTTACTGCTTGTTTGCTTAGAGATTTATTTTCGACTCCCTTTCTTTCCGATGATGCCGATGTTTGTTCAAGATTAGGGTCGGATTTCTTTCCAACACCTACTTGGGATCTCGTTTGGGTGGCGTTTGATTGGTACTCTCTTGTTGTCTTATGCATTAATCGTCGGTTTGTCTCTACAAGTGGATTCGTCTTGCTTATACACAGATGATATTTCTCGCTCGGTCGATTTAAATCGACATCTCAGGTACACGTAGGTGATTTCAGCTTTTGCTGAATGGTCCTTCGTGCCTGAATAACCAAACCTGGGAGAGGTCTTTTGTTAGTGATGTTTTGTCTTTTGATCTTAATCAAATCCGTTTCTGTTGAATCCACTAGCTTTGTGTTCCCATGGCGTTTGTCTAGTATATCTACTTCGTGTTGTTTTTTGGGATCCAAATCAAATATAGATATAGCTTGTGTTCTTCACGGTGATTCTAGTAACTTCGATGTTCCGTTGACGGTTATTAGACTTCATCTTGAAAGATGATCTTGGAAATTGTTCGGCTCAAAAATATAAATATTGATCCACTTGATACCTGCAATTCTATATGTAACAGGAGAGAAACAATGGACCACTTGAACGTAAAGTTCTTAGCAATTTTCTGATCTGTGAACTACAAACTTAAGCGAGTCTTGATCTGTTGGGTCAAGGTGTCTTTTCTACTGGGCGTGATGGTCAAGAAGATGCCAGATGAACCAATCATGGATATTTGTATCCATTCTTATTGTGGTCCTTGGTGCATGTCTTTTGTTTTCCGGATGTGTAACCCCTAAACTAGAAAACCATGCTTATATTTGCTTTTGAAGTTTCATTTGCAGTTAACAGATATTCATTTTGTAGTAGTTTGTTGTTAGCTGCCAGCCTAAGAGCCTTGTACATGAGAGTACTCTGGCTGAACAAGTTATTGAAATTTCATAAAAAAATACAAGACAACTCCTTGGTTTTGAACTCTATTTCATGTAATCAAGAATCAAGAAATTATTGTGATTTTGATAAAGTTATAGAAGCTTTATTCACTACTTCCTTTACTCTCACTTTACATATTTTGGTGACGTCCTAATTCCTATATATTTTTTTAAATTTTAAAAGCCATCTATCTTATGGCTACCAACATCACTTTTTTCTTGCTTAAACTGAATTGTACTGTTGTCTATGGTATTTGTGGGAGCAAGCTCTTCATAAATTCATTTATAGAACCTATTGTTGGCTATAGTTTCCAAATCAAGCAAAGTGGAAATGGAAGCATAATACTTTTTACAGGGTAATCTCTAATGCAGATCAGTTACTATTTTCTCCTTCTTTAACAGAAATGGATGATGATTGTTGTTCTACCCAACTTATTGACGGAGACGGAGTGTTCAATGCTGCTGGGCTTGAACATTTTATGAAAACAGTGAAGCTGGCTGAGTGTGGCTTATCCTATGCCGTGGTGTCTATAATGGGTCCACAAAGCAGTGGTATGTGTATGAGTTACTTGAACTATTACTATTGCTTTTTTATTTGCTGCCCCATGATTACTTTTATACTGTTTTGTTGCTGCTTGGGGTAGTCTTTTTAGCTTTCATGATGCTGTTGGCCTCCTTTCATCTTTTTTGGTCTGGATAGAGCTGATTATATCATAGATAGTATTCTTGGTGGCCAATGTTTCTTGCAGACCAGATATACTGATAGCGACCAGGCTTGATTTTCGGAGATCTAGTAGGTGACATTTGTTTAAAGATATATGTTGTGCAATAGAACACTTGATGATTGAAATTGAAAGGCATGTTCAAGTTATTATATTTTGAAGAGAGCCTGATATCAGTTAAATATTTGCATGACCACATATATGTTTTCCAGATTAGTAAAAAAGAGAGGCCCTCAATCTGAACTTGGGATTTAAGACATGAGTGTAGTTGTTAACTCAGATCACATTCTTTTTTTATTCTGTAACCATTCAGTGAAGTCAAATATTATCATTAAAAGTGTCTTTAGGTTAACAAGTAATATTTTATTTTATTTTCATGTCTTCACATAAAGCCTAAAAATTGAAGGCAAGCATAGCTGATATCACATGGTACATAATGATAACATGTACAATATCTATCATTATTTTGTTTTATATTACTTATTGTGGTGTTTTTGGACTGAGGAATGGATTTCTATCTGAAAGATTAGGATTTATTCTAAATTATGAAGCATGAGTGGATTTAGATTAGCTGGGAGCATTTGAAGATTTACTGTGGGGACCATCAATTCTGACTATCCCCATGTTCTTTGTCAATTTAATGTTTTCGATCACACACTGCCAGATCGTGGCATATCTAGTCCAATCTCGTTTAACTTCAGGACCTTGGTTGCACAAACCTTTTGAGATTGTGGAATTCAAATCTGGTTATGCCCAGACATGCTTTTGATTGGGTTCAGTTGATTTCATAAAAGATGATTTCATAGTGTGAGAGTAAAATTTTTTAGGTTTAACATTTTCTTATGGTACACGCTACTTAAACTTTTTACAACCAATCTTCTTTTTGGGTAGACATTTATATGATGAGATACTTTACCGTAATTAGAAGCGTGTTTTTTTTTTTTCTATGTTCAGGTGTCCTACTATCACTTGTGTCGCTTATTTCACATTTTTACTCCTTGTACCATAATGTTTCAGGGTTGCACTAGTTAAATCAATTCATTTGCTTCTCTACATTGCTCGCTGCCAGAAGAATACTTCTTTCCAAACTCAAGAAATTTATGTATTGTTTTAAGTAAATAAGGTGCATGTGCCATCATAATATCATAGTATAGTCTTTCATTTACAACTTTTGGTTAGTTTCCACAATCCTATATATATATATATATATATATATATATATATATATATATATATCTCTTTTATGTATAGTACTTGCTGATAAAAATTTCTTCATAAACCTCTATTTCTGCGATAGGGAAGAGTACACTTTTGAACCATTTATTTGGCACCAACTTCAGGGAGATGGATGCTTTCATGGGAAGGCAAGTTATTGGATTGTCACCCATAAACTTCATTGGTGTCGCTATGACTTCTACTTTTTCATTTGATTTTGGCTTAATAATGTCTTTTTATATTAGGTCGCAAACCACAAAGGGCATTTGGTTGGCTAATTGTGCTGGAATCGAACCATGCACAATCGTTATGGATTTGGAGGGTACTGATGGAAGAGAGCGCGGAGAGGTATCTATTCAGTATATGATATTGTATTCATGGTAGAGATCTTTTACACACAGAATTGCGCATTTTATCTTGGGAGATTTTACATTATACCCAAGCGATCAAGCCTTTTCTTAAAGAAGAAACATTTTGGCAAGTTGAGGAAAACATCAATAGTTAGGGCATGTGAGATGATATTATGCACCTTCAGCACTTGCAAGGCTTAACAAAGAATGACATGATTGGCTGAAAATTTTGACATAGTCAACAACCACATTTCATGGATTGGCATAAACTTCAGCATTATGCAGCAACCTTCTATTGGATTCTAAGATTCAATATCAATCTTGAAGAAATAAGTGAGCATGATATCACAAAGCGTTAAAAATCACGGATGCTAGATGAAGTTGGTTATGCATTGTATGCTTTTTTTTGCAAAGAAGCCTTAATGTTTGGATCAGACTGGTTCTTTGTCTTTTTGAATTTGAATTGTGAAGAATTAGGGCCAATTATCATTCTAACATATTTTATGTTTGCGTGGTCTGGACTCTGGAGGCTCTGGACGATGTAGACAACATGGATCAGATGGTTTCATTCCATGATCAGATAGTACCCTGTTTGTTCAAGGAACTATAAAGTTATTTTAAGAATTTTGTTTTCAATTAGATCTGATTGACGTGATTTAAATTTCATCTACACTTCAGCTTTGATATTACAATCTTATTGCTTGCCAACCACTTCTCAGTGGCCACAATTTTTTACTTTATGTTTTCCTATATGGAGAAGACTTCAGGACTGAAATTATCTCAATGGTCATGCCATACAAAGTGGCTATAGGCTGTAATGTTTACGGAAAAAAGTGGAAAATGATGAGGGAAATATAAAGAATTATAATGAGATAATAATAGGAAAAAAGCATTAGGCCTTTTCTTATTGCAAATACTATCATGTTTACTTGTCCCAGGAGTTCTTAGACGAGCTTCTTTTAAATCCTTCCAGTTCCTGCTGTTATTCCCCCTAATCATACCCCAATTAAGACATAGAGATTTACCAATGCAATGTGGCCAATGAAAACTAGGAAAAAATACTAGTTATCTACTGGTAACTCCAATCAGGAGCCAAAATAGGATTCTTAGGAAAAACAAAAGAGGAAACTGGTGTCTATATTGCTGCTTAATGAGTGTAGATTATTTAACTAATATTTAGGATTCTTGCATCACGTTCAGCTTACCAACCAAAACTTGGGTTGCCGGAATCTTCTAAAATCCTCTTATATTACTTAATTTACAATAAAAGAGAATTATTATTTTAGATTAGGTTGTCGCAACCTTTTTTTTTTGGGTGCTCTTTGCAACCTTGATTCTTGACTGCAAAACACCTGATAGTCCTCTTCTCCACCTTTCTTCTTCCTCCTCTCTTCTCGTTCCACTTCTTTCTTACACTTCCTTCCTTTGCCCTTGTAGACTGGTACCATGATACATGCCAGCATACCATGTGAATGCTGGCATGTGCCGTACCCATATCAGTCTGGCCATCAACAAGTAGGAGTCCGGTATCCAAAATTATATTCCTTGGCTAGTTGGTCTTTATCTTGCTAATTTCCTTAAGTTTCTGTCCCATTAATTACAAATATATATGTTGGTCTTCAAGGTGTCTATTGCATGCTTGCTTATGTAGTTATGCGCCACAAACTGAAGGTTAAGCAAGGACTTCACGGACTAATGAGTGAAACTCACACCTAATTGGGGCCTATTTTTATGCTTTGGAAAAAAAAGTTGGAGCTGTTTCCCTTTATGTTTTTGGACATCCTCATTCTTTAATGAACCATTTTCATATAAAAGAAAAAATTTTATACATCCGTCATGATTCACTACATATTCTGGTCTTAATTTTTTCTTTTACTTTATTAGTTCCTTATCTTTGGAAACTTAATCTATGGTTTATCATCTTTTTTTTTTCAGGATGACACCACATTTGAGAAGCAGAGTGCACTTTTTGCTTTAGCAGTTTCAGATATTGTCCTTATAAACATGTAAGTCTACTGTCCATCATGCAAAACATCCTCTCCTTTCTGTCTTAGATTTGCTTAGTTTGTCTCTATAAGATAGGTGGTGCCATGATATTGGTCGAGAACAAGCTGCAAACAAGCCTCTTTTAAAGACAGTATTCCAGGTAATCATTGGCTGTACAATTCTTGCATAGCCATAAAGTCATATGCAACTTCAATATTTTCGTTCTTGTTTGTATAAGCTTTGAATTCTTTTGCCTTGACTGCTCTTGTTTCTCATAATAGGTCATGATGAGATTGTTTAGCCCACGTAAGACAACATTACTATTTGTCATACGTGATAAAACCAAGGTGAATTTTTTTTTTGTTCACGCTTTTCAGTATCTTTGTATCCTCTTAACTGGTACATATTTGTAATTGACATCCTTTTTGTTTCAGACACCTCTGGAAAATCTTGAACCTATTCTCAGGGAAGATATTCAAAAGGTGCCCGATGCCAATTTCTCTTACTTTGTATGTTTGCAACAATTTTTCATCATCAGTATCTAACACCTATATATTCCTTGCAGATATGGGATAGTGTTCCAAAACCACAAGCTCATAAAGAAACTCCTCTTAGTGAATTTTTTAATGTAAACATTGCTATTTTCTTTGCTCTGTATTCTTTGCTGATGAAACTACATTTGTTGTCTCACTCAGTCACTCTGATGCCATATATCTCCAGGTGCAAGTTGTGGCTCTTTCGAGTTATGAAGAGAAAGAAGAACAATTCAAAGAACAGGTTAGCTTTAACTTAATTACATGGTCTCTGATATAACTGGACTAAATCCTCTATATATAATTTATTTGAATCCATGTCACCGCAATGTATCCTATATAAGGTGCGTTAGCTTATTATTTAATAGAAGTTAGGGAGTTTGCACTACAAAATACTAATATAGATGCAACATTGAGTCTTTGATCTAGAACAATCAGAAGCATATTGACTGTGAATCTAAACACTAAATATGGTCAATCAAGACTAATTGAAGAAAGTTTAAGATTCCAAGAATCCTAATGCTAAGGCACCAAGGAGATAATCGGAGTAGGGCCACCTCCACGTACTGCCTTTTTCCTATTATTATCTCATTGTTGCTATTTTTATTAGACATCCAATTTTGATTAATGAAATTAAAATAATAATCTTCATGTATAAGATCTTGTTATCTTCTCCATGTTCTTGAAGATGTTACTGAAGTCAATGCTAGTCGATTGAACTTTTTGAAAGCGTAGCCGATGTGGTTTTGGGCCTGGTTATGACAAATATACTAATCACAGCCTAGCCCGTAGTTTATGTTTGTCTTATTGGATTAGGGTATTACACTATGAAACTATGTATATATCCATCTTTTGCCACACCGGTGTTCAGTGTTGGTATCCATGCTTCATAGTTAATTGCAACTAAGGTACATATGGTTGCTATGTGTTGCCTGAAAATTCGTGTATAAACTTTTTTTATAGTACTTATTTTTAGTTTTGAGTCATTATTGCTAATTACTCTGAGCATGTCTGTTCTGGCAGCTGAATCTCAGTCATCATGATTATGTTGTTGAACTGTGGAGTTAGACTGATTAAATAAAGCACAAACCTGTCAAGCCTTTTGTATTTGTTTTTTTTTTTCTTGCCCCTCTGTTTTTGGCATGCTGCAATCATTGAAGACATCTTTCTAAAAAATTGAATTATAATCCTATCAATGTATATGATTGAAAATGCCTTTCCAGATCAAGCATATGTATTTGCCAATTTCTGACATATTCTTCTTTGGTTTATCATGTCATAATAATGAACAAAAGGTTGCAAGTTTGAGGCAAAGATTTTATCATTCCATTGCTCCTGGTGGTCTTGCTGGAGATCGGCGAGGGGTCATTCCTGCTTCAGGTTTTTCATTTAGTGCACAGCAGATCTGGAAGGTTATCAAAGATAACAAAGACCTTGACCTGCCTGCACACAAGGTAATGATCAGGTTACTTGAATAATTGTTGTATTAACACTCTTGTGAGATTTTCATGTTGGCGTGATTTATTCCTGTAGGTCATGGTAGCCACTGTACGTTGTGAAGAAATTGCTAATGAAAAGCTTACTTATATGGCTGCTATGGAGGTGATGATCTTCCACTTGTATTTGCTTTGGTATATTCATTTTTTGAGGATACAAAAATTCTTTATGCATTTCAGGAGTGGCTGCAACTTGAAGAAGCTGTTCAACATGATCTAGTTCCAGGTTTTGGGAAGAAGCTTAGTGTAATTTTGGACAAGTGCTTTTCTGGGTGAGCATATATCTAGCTAATATTTTATATATATTGATGTTCTTCACATTTTCCAGATTTATTGATGTAGAATTTGGCCGGTACATTCTACTTGATTGTTAAGCCTCCTTGTTTGAATTTAATTGCATTATACCTGAACTTTCTATGGTGGCTTCTTGTTGTTGTTGTTGTATACCTCAACTTTCTAGGTAGCCTTAATGGATATGGTGTATACTCCTGTAAGTGGTTATTATTTCAGACCCTTATCTTGAGTTTGCTTCCCACTACAATGTTGGTATCTATTAAGCGTGGATAAGATTCAACATATAACTATTCAGAGAGGTGATCTTGTATGTTTCTGTAAGACTGAGCAAAATCATGAAGACTATGAAGGAGCCACTCTTGACGGTCAAGTTGTCAATGTGGTGGGTAAGCTCGCTGGAGAATTGGAAGAACCAGGTGGTTAATAGGGCAGGCATGCATGTGCAAAACCCCAGCTTTTGCCATTCAATTATCAATACTTCACCAGCACCAAACACTATTGATCTTGGGACTTTGGTGGTTGTCAAGCTTTATTGGCTGCAGTGAAGGGATTTTGTGGAGGGTTAGCTCTGATGCCATATATTTATTTGGTGGTATCAAGAAAGATGTCATAGAAAAAGAGAGTGGTCTGGATGGGGGATAAAAATTGTTAAATATGATAGTTTGGTCTGACGAAAGTGGAACCCAAATTGAGTTCCTCAAGCTCAAATTCTTAAAACTCTTTCATGAGAACATTGTCTAAAGTGTTTATTTGTCTGAAAATCTACTTCTTGGTTTTTGTTACTTCTTGTCAGTGGACTTAAAGTTGATTTAGCTAAACTGGTTTTGCTCAGGGAAGTGAGAGTGACATATTCAATTTTCACTTTTGGTATATAAAACACTGAATTTGAATTGCTTTCAATGTATTTTTCACCATTTGAGGTTCTCACTTTCACAAAGTATTTTAGTGTTTAGGTTTTTAAACAGTGATAATGTATTGCAAATAGGTTGGTTGTGTAAAAGAGAAGATGGAAACAAAAAAGTGGCCCACGACGTAGCGCCATCACAAGGGTGTCTGGTGGGGGCTAGCTGCAAAATGGATTGGATTGACTCTGCCGAGGCTACATCTGATTACGAAGGTCTGAGGATGGATTGGCAATGGCTTACGGGGAGATGAGTCAAGTACTAGTGGCTAAACTAAATGTGTGTGACATGTATAATTTGGTTTGTTTATACAATGCTAGACCAGAACTAGATAAATAAAAAAAAGATTTAAACCATAATTAAAAAGACCAATTTGGGCTTGTTTACTGGTTCAATTGGTTCGGTTCATATTTTCTTGAATGCTAGCAGGTAGGATCTAGCCAGTTGGAACATGGTAGTGACTAAGTCGCATAGTTCTTCTGTCTTTGTGCTACATACTGGTTCATGCCTTAGAATAGTTGTGAAAGACGCATAGTTCTGGCACCTTTTATCTTCTTTTCTTACAGTTAGCATGATTTGTTAGTTGAATCTGTTTTTTTTTTTTTTGTTATGAAGTGAATTTTGTTTTGGGTCTTTGAATGTCTAATGACAAATGGAGGCTTTGTACGGTTGAACTGACCTGTAAGGCTCCTTTTGTTATGACCCGGGCCTAATAGGCTAACTGGTCCATTGACTTCGTTTTACCTAAACCACTAGGTATAATGTTTAAGCTAAGGCTGATAGTAATATACTCATTAGATCTTTATAAGTCAATCTTAGTCTTACTCACTTCCGATGTAGGACTAATCGGGATGTTACACCTTTCTCTCCCATTGTGATCAAGATGAGAAATTAAAAATAGTTGGTTTCCAGATATGTCATGGACAAGATTTTCTGATGGATAACTGAAGGCAACGTACGATCGATTAAGAGGATTTCCATCTGCTCTATGTTTTTTCTTTCCCTCTTGCAAGCATGCCTTTGTGGACAGTGTCTCATCTTGGGCCATGTGAATGACATGCTCTGCCAACTGGCTGGTACTGTAATAAAATCTTTGATTTTAGATTTTAGGGTAATTGAAACCTCTAGTTCCTCATCTAGAATGCTGTAAATTTTAGACATAATTAGTTCTCTTACTGTTCCTTTATATTGGTCTTTTAGGATGAACTCTAGACATGTGTGCTCTATTTTTATTTTTGACTGACACTTGCATGAAAGGTTCAAACCAATTATGTAGAGTAAAACTGAGATAAAGGAGTAAATGGTAAGTTAAGTTGTACAAGTGTGATTGCCCCAAAGACCTGGTGATGCTGCAATTTACATATCCATTATTTATACAAGTGAGAAGAGGGTGTATCTAGTGCATGAGGCTCCTGCCAATGCGGGGTCTGGGGAGGGTCAAAAATTAATATTCCTACATTTGTAACTTAAGTTGTATAGACTTTCTGGAAAAGTAGTCAAGGATTCATAAGATACCAAAGTGCCGAAAGAATGCTCTTATCATACATTGAAAAGGTCAACAATACTTATTGATAATTCTTGTGATCTCATGTGGTCGAGTTAATTGTTAGGTGTAATATTATTTCACTTAAGCAACTAATATACCTGCATGCCTATTATTTTTTTTGCACTGTGTCACCACTACATGAAAATTCTAAATGCAAATGTTGCAACATTAGGTTTGCTTTAGTCTTTCTTAGGTTTCTTCTGAATACTTCAGCACCTGAAATTTTCAAGTAATAATTAGTAAAGATATTATCAATTTAGTCTTCTTATACTATAAATAGAAAGGATGAATCCACTGCACGAGGTTGCTGCCAATGCAGGGTTTAGGGAGTGTCAAATGTACACATCCTTACTCTTACTAGTAGTGGGATTACTTGGTCAGCAAGGTGCAAAGCAGCAACCTTTATATGCTATAAATATTGAATATTGTTTATGCACCCTTGATTTCTGATTGAAACATATACCGTACATTCACTGGTTGGGTTTCTAATTGTACTTAAAGTTATTTTTGTTTTGCAGATATGATATGGAAGCTGTATATTTTGATGAATCTGTTAGAATTTCGAAGAGGCAACAACTTGAATCAAAACTTCTCCAGGTACTGTTGCTTCTGAATGCCGGCAGCATTTAACTCACATTCTTGTGCTATTGCCATAAACATCACTGTAATTGGTACAATATGGTAGGCCTGATTACAATGCAAAAAATGTTCAGCTTTAGCTGGAAATTAGGTTGACAATAGTGCTGTTTGCTGCTTTGCTAAGTGTAGGTGCTGAGATGAGTAATCAGAAATAGGTTATTTTCCAAATTCAACTGGTTCCTGCTGGTTTTAAGTTTTCTTTTCCTTCTATTCTGTGTAATGTTCTTCATAGCATATAGTGTGTATACTCTTTTGCTGAACTGACATTGTTGAAGAGATGTACTGTGCTATCCAATAGTGGTCTTTATCATTCGAAATGATACTGGTAGTTGCTTGAATTTAGGTTAGGTCTGTTTGTGTCATAGTTTCTTTACAAGAGGTGTTTCATCCATATATGCTATTTAAATGCTTATTGAAATATGCTTAGGTTTTTGCATTTGAAATTATTGCCAACCTACAAGGAACCTTGCTTCTTTTATTTTTCAATTGGTACAAAAATGAGCATATTACATCCTTTAGTTAAGTGGGATATGATGATATTCCAAGAGACCTCTATTTGTGGCTCATCTCCTTTGAATTTTTAGGTGGCATTGAATTTAGTTTTATCATTAGGGAGATTCATGTTTTGTAATTGGTAGTTCTTTATTTTAGTAACAAGGTTGTCTATAATGCACTCGTTTATTTTTGTAGTCTGAGGTATCATTTGTAGTGGCAACACAAAACAATTTTTGCATCTTGGATTTTTTACGGTTATTTTTATACTGTTTTTTTCTATAAATTGTTTGGCAATACCACTTTTTACATCAGAGAAACTGAAACCTTGGAGGTTTTATTTCCTTTCCATGTGGCAATCAGTGTAGTAAGAGAACATAGAGTAAAGAGAGCATCTTGTTTTATAGTATAATAATGATGGGAGAGGAAAAAAATAGAGGAAAGATAATATCCGAACTCGTTTTTGTTTCAATGCATCATCTTAGGGGATTTGGTTTTACACCAGATGTGTCTCATTCACAAATGATGGAATCATGTTATTAACGTAGAAGAATATAGGCACTCATCAATCGGAGATGATTGGGAAAAGAAAAACAAATTTTCATCCATACAACTATTTTGTAGATTACAATCCTTTTTTATAGATCCTGACATACAAGAAGAGAAAGTAAATACAAATAAAGAAAGTCTTATTTCTGTGTTAAGGAATCAATTATCTCAACTATCATTTTTGGGAAATCTCCACCTTGATTTTTTTGCTTTAATATTAATATTCCTTGCTAGCAAGATACTTGATTGGGTTTATGATACTTTCTTGAGGAGTATTATTGATCTAGTATATCTTCCCAAACAACTTCCTTCTTTTTCTTAGAGAATTTTATTAGTTAATATAGAGATCCATAAGATGTTCATTACATTTGCAAAATTCTCTAAAGCAATAGAATTAGTCCAATGCCAAACATTAAACCAAATAGCTCCTGAATTGTTGTGGATAACAAGTTTGATATGCTATAGAACTCAGATTGACAAGGACATCAAAGTCCAGACTACAAATTTGCTTTTGAGCTTGTTGATGGTCGACTATCTATTTTGAAATGGCTGGACATATTTTTCTCTAGATCCAAGGCTTTATTGTATGAGCCTAGTTGCACAAGGTGTGAAATGGACCTTGGAGTTGGTTCGAGTGTCGATGTATTTGTAATGTCTAAAAGCCTGAAAATTCTAGAAGAATCTTTTACACATTATTGGTGTGCATGTGGATATTCGGGGTATAATTTACAGATTAAAAACAAAAATGATGTTCCATGGAGATGAAATAACGGAAATGCACATGAAATTTATCTTTCTACACTGTTTAGGAATTTACTTAGTCTAATAAGAATTGTCAAATAAGTAATAATGTCTGGTGGTTAAGTATTTGTGATTGACCTAATTTGCCTTTTTAGTTGGTAAATCCTGCTTATGAGTCCATGTTGGGGCATATTCGAGCAAAAACTTTGGATGGTTTTAAGGAAGCACTTGACAAGGCGCTTGAAAGAGGAGAAGGGTTTGCTATTGCTGCACATGATTGTACTCAAGTGTTCATGTCAAAATTTGACAAAGGCTGTGAAGGTATATAATTTTGCATTTCAATTCTATTATCATTGTTTTGTGTGGATTCTGCTTTGTGGTTGTAACGCAATTCTCTAGGATTACAGATGCAACTATTGAACAAGCAAGTTGGAATCCTTCAAAAGTTCGGGATAAGCTTCGGCGAGATATTGATGCACATGTAGCTTCAGTTCGTGCAGCGAAACTTTCTGAGCTTACCACCTTATATGAGGTCTCTTTTATCCTTTTCTTATTGTGTGTAAAATCTTATAAGAGTGTCTACTTTTCTACAAACACAAAGAAATGCAAATATAAAAATAGTAAGCCATCCAGTAATTCTATTGGATTCTAGAATGTGAAAGTTGGAATATCATATACTTGCAGGGGCAACTCGCTAAAGCTCTTTCAGAACCTGTAGAGGCTCTTCTTGATGCAGCCAGTGATGATACCTGGCCAGCAATAAGAGAACTTCTTCGACGGGAGACAAAATCTGCTATTTCTGGATTTTCTTCTGCACTTTCATCATTTAATCTTGACGAGGCAGATGTTGATAAAATGCTCATAAAACTAGAGGAGTACGCTAGAAGTGTTGTTGAATCCAAGGCAAGAGAAGAGGCAGGAAGAGTATTGATCCGTATGAAGGACAGGTAATACTTCTTTTGTCATTGGTTTTTTGGATAAAGATCATTTTGTAAAGAAGCAGGTTGACAGTTTTTTCTCTATGCAGATTCTCAACATTGTTCAGCCATGATGCTGATTCCATGCCAAGAGTTTGGATAGGAAATGAAGACATTAAAGCAATCACAAAAACTGCTCGCTCTGCAGTATGTCATGGGAAATATCTCCCTGATAATATAGAACTCTTACTTTTAATATCATGACCTATCCGATACGTTTTTTTGGAAATTAATACCACCCTCCTTTGCAGTCTCTGAAGTTGCTGTCTGTAATGACTGCCATTCGACTGGATGATGAGACTGATAAAGTTGAGAAAATGCTCTCACTTGCTTTGATGGATGCTTCTGATGGTGGTGGTACAAACAGAAGCATCCAATCACTTGATCCGCTTGCTTCAAGTTCATGGGAAGAGGTGATGAATTTTTTGAAAATTTATTTCTGTTAATGATTGTGTCCCTGCTTTATCATTTTGAATATGCAAGCACCTTGTAATTTTGAATTGTCTCTGGGGCTTAGTTTAACAGAGAACTTCATCTCAGTTGTTTTGAACAAGGAATGAAATATTGGTTGGCTAGTACATACCCATTGATATTTACTGGTCTGATCAAAGGACTTATACTGGATTGATTCTTCTCGGTGTTATAATATTTTGTTATTTTTTTATGATACCTGACATTGACAGAGTACATATTCTAGTATACTGCTACCATACTGATCCAACTGGTTGCCAATACCTGACAGTACATATTCTAGTACACTGCTAACATACTGATCCAACTGGTTGCCAAAACTGTTTTTGGACAGATTTATATTTTTGGTTCTAGAAACCCCAGTCTGGACTTCAAGATAGAGTTTTTATCGGTTTGAAGGTTGGTTAATTTACTGGGATTCAACCATGGTTTAACTACTATGATGAACAGACTTGAAAATTTGCACAATTAAAGGTATGTGATCGACTGGTGGAAAACAGTTATTGCTGGATGTGGTGACATAAATACTAGTAGAGGGAGGGGAGGGAGAGAGTGAGTTGAGACTTGAGAATGAAGAAAGAAGTGTTGATGCATGATGGAATTGTCACAATTTAATGTCTGTCTTCCAGTGTAACTTGTGGCTCAAATGTATACTGGTTAAGATATATACTTGAGGGTTTTTCGGGTTTTGAGAATCTTGGTTCACCTTTGACCTAATACAATAAGTTACCGGTAGTGGGTTGAACTAACAAACCAGGCTAAGTTTGCTTGGTTTAAGTCTATCTTTCATGCCATTGCTGGCTATCATTGCGGTTTATGAAGCTTATTATTTCAGCCAGTATCATTATAGTTTGGATTTTAGTTTTCTTGGTGCACATCTGGTTACATTTTTGTTCCATATCTCTTCTTTTCAATTGTTTCCTTTCAGAAATAGATTTTGAAGTTCTCAAAATTTTTGTAAGATTTTTTTTTCCAAATTAAGGTTCCAATGAGGTTTTGAAAGTTTATGGCATCTGGCCAACAGTCAGAATAGATCATTGTTGCATGCCTTTATAATCTCATGCTAGCATGGATGTGTTAGAAGTAAATAAGTAAATAACATTCAGCATTAATTTAATTTTTTTTCATCCATTATCATTTTTGGTAACCTACCAAACCAGTATAGTATTGGTTTATGAGTCTTTATATTAACTTGTACCATCTATTATCATTGAATGAAATAAGAAAAAGAGAATCAATTGGTATTGTACTGGTGTCGAGCTATATTTTTCAATATCGGTACCGGTTGATACCAGCGGGGTACTGGTCCATACCGATCATAACGGTTGAGATTTGAAACCTCAATTATAGATATATGATAACCAATTGATTAGTTTGTGACTTTCGTATTGCATGCGGATCTAGGCTGAGGTTATATTGGTCTTAGGGTTATGTTGGTTCCCATCTTTAGGAACTTTCACAGTAAGACTGCCAGGATAAGTTTTGATAGGATCAGCTTTTTTTGGGTTGGGAAGGGCAAGCAGGGGTTGTGACTTCAGAACAGCGGCTGTTAGTGTTTCTGTGGCATGTCACTGGTTGGTGGTAGAAGCTTGGAGCTCATCATTTTGGATGGGCTGGCAACTTCCACAACCCTCCTTTTCTCCCTGCCCAAGATAGTGTTTGTAGTCAAGATGCCCAATGTGGTTGAGATCACCTTCACCTTTCTTTGCTGAAATATACAAAAATGTCTAAAAATTAATAAAAAAATGAAAAAGGAGAAAATATTAATGACCCCTTAAAACCCTTGTGGGAAATCACCTTGGTTCATTGATGTGCAGAAGACTTTGTTATGGTGAATGTTGGATATATCTTGTTAGTTGTCACTATTTTAAATCACTAGCTGCATGCATTTGAACTTACCAAAATCAGCTGAATTTTACAAGTTCTTTTTTTCTTTATAAGAAACTGTTCGTTCAATTCCATTAAGAAGTTTTATAAGTGTATGTTCATGGTTGCATTGCTATTGCAACTCTAGGATCTTCAAACTTAAACATATCTTGCCCCAACACGCAGGCACTTCCAACAGTTCTGTTATCCGAGATATCCTGTTCTGCTAGTTCTTAAAAGTGTTGTCTACAAGTCTAAATTGCATAAGCAGACACTGATAATACAACTTATGTACTCTTTATCAATATGCTGAATGTTACTGTTCTAGTTTCAATTTCCTAAGATGTTGCTGTTTTAGTTTCATTTCTCTTAAGGCAATAAGAAGAGTACCAGGTTCTACATGTTTTTCACATGACCACTTCACATGACGGTCTTGGTTGGTTAAATTGGTCTACCATATTATTTTACCAGGTTCCACCAACAAAAACTTTGATTACTCCAGTCCAGTGCAAATCATTGTGGAGGCAGTTCAAGGCTGAGACAGATTATACTGTCACTCAGGCTATTTCAGCTCAGGCATGTTCTCAATCTCGAGTTTTACATTTTTTTTTAAACTGGCCTTCTAATATTATATTCGAAAAGCAGATAGTTTTTTTTCTAGTGTAAGAAGTACCGCATATTGCTTAATTTCATTCATTTGCTATGTAAGGTAGAAGAATTTTCTGGCTCGTGGATAGTCCATATAACTTCAGATCTTTTAAAGTGTAGGGCTTCTAAGTTTCATGCACACTGCTGTTGTGCTAGAATTCATAGCTCTAACTTGGATCATAAGCTGCAATTGCATAGAAATAGGAAACCTAATTGCATGTTTGTTGGACTTTGTGGTACAAGTAATGATAGAACACAAAATAATACAATCTATTTCATTAGCATCTCTAGATCTATCTACATTGTTCAACATTATATGATTATTGATGATAAAGAGAGCTTGGTATTCCCTGGCAAAAGATTTGGAAATACCGAAACAAGGTTTTGTTGGACTTTGTTAACAATTTCTAACTGTGCCACTAGCCTTGGTTATATATATATAAACACACACACACACACATGCTTGACTGCCAATTTGGGGTTAAGTGCTTAGTTTTGATTATGGGCCAAGTGTCAAATGATGATTAATTTCATACAGCAGAACGTTGGAGATGAGTTACAAATGATTAATTTCAAATTAATTCTGTCTCTAGAAAAACAATTTTTCATATTTCTTTGTGTCTGAATTTGCGGATCGTAAGAGCTAAATAGGATTTTTTTTAATAATAAAAATTAAAAATTCACTTCTGAAGTAAGTGATTTAAGATCAGGGTTTTGGTGTAATAGCAACTGGTACAAGCTAAATTGGAAAATATGCTATCATACCCATGTATGTAGAATAAGATCACTGTACAAACCAACTAAGTTGATGGTCTTCAGAGGTTCAAGAAACAATTGAACAGGAGGCTAAGTTTTATATTTGGTTTGTGACTATCATGACATGGAGCATACAAATTTCCAGCAATTTGCTTCGGCCATAGTTATCATTTGAAGGCTAGTCTTGATGGCAATTATGGCTAACAATGATGAAATTGCTTATGCTGCTAAACATTTTTACCTCTAATACTCTGTTACTTCATTTGTTGGTTTCAGGAAGCCCATAAGCGTAACAATAGCATGTTACCTCCTCCATGGGCAATTCTTGCTATTCTTGTTTTGGGATTCAACGAATTTATGACACTTCTTAGGTAATTTATTTGTTTTAAAGAACTTTTTTTTTTCTTGTTGGATCTCCTGTCTTATATATAAAAATTACTCCATTTGGTTTTTGCAGAAATCCTCTCTACTTGGCTGTTATTTTTGTTGTTTCTTTAGTGGGCAAAGCCCTCTGGGTCCAGCTAGACATATCAGGCGAATTCAGAAATGGAGCTGTGAGTTTTGATTTTTTGAGTTTAGGAGTGTTTCCTCTGTCAAGTTTGAACTCTGACTTCACCTAATTTGCTTGTTTGTCAGCTTCCTGGGCTCCTTTCCTTGTCTACAAAGTTTCTTCCGACTGTAATAAACATCCTTCGGAGATTGGCTGATGAGGGCAAACAACCTGCAGCTCCGGCACTCGACAGGAACCACTCAAAAAGCAGCTTCAGGCGTGGTGTAACCAGCAACTCATCGTCATCCGCAACCTCTAATTTGGCATCACCTGAGAGCGAAATAGAGTATTCGAGCCCACCAAGGCAACAATGAACATGCAATGGACAACTACGATATGTTTTTCTCACGTTGGCTTTGCTGTTTTAGGATTTTTGGTTTTATTTTGAACTGAGCTTTATTGAGATGCTCGCTTGACTATATAGTGTAAGCTCATGAATGTATCCATTATAGTGTAGTGTATGATAACCAGCTTGTGTAAGAGCTAGTGTCCATTTTTCCCTTTTCTTTTGGTATTTCTTATCCTTATTTTTTTTTTAGCTCGATTCAGAATAATCTGTAACACTCGGGGTTGGTTTAGTCGGTTCGATCCTACTTGTAAGGCTCCATTGTCGAAGGAATTTTATAAGGTTCAGATTAATTACTGTTTTTATGTTTAAAAAATAATTTTATAAAATTTAAAAAAAAAATTAAGAAAGAGAAAATTATAATAATAATTGACTTTTTATCTTCCTAATCGGAATTGTGCCAACGTCTTCCACTGCCAGAAGAGGCGGAAATTACGGAGAACTGTTGCATTAATTAAATAGAGAACTTCAGTTTGGTTTCCTCTTCTCCGTTTGGTTCCTCGGATCACTGCTGTTGCTGCGACGACAGCAGCCGCAGCTGCAACGGCACCTACTTTTTACACCACCTGCGGCCTTCACCGTGGCACCCCCTCCTTGGCAAAAACAGCTATTATCCCTGCTCGGATCAACTGTTGGTTTTAAATCCATACCTACACTGAGCTATTACAGAATGTTGACAATATGGTAACGTCACAAGCTAAAAGAGAGAAAAGTGCATGTTCCTGTTAGTTCAAGTAATCCTGTTCTTGATATACATATAATCACAAACGATTTGAATACTTCTACTCTCTTTCAATAACACCACCACTTTCTCAAACATGTATTTATAGAACTTATTTTAATTGCTCTCTTCTAAAACCACAGGTCACCAAGTTGTTTTCTGACTGCAGCTTTCACGAAACCAACACATTATTAAGGGGATGTAACATAGAAACACATTATTAACAACACAAATATCTCGAAATCGGATCCACCATCAGTATGCTGGAAAATAAATTTTCAACATTGCAAAGTACTAAATGGATAAAGTAGAAATATCAACAGCTTTCATCTCACTATATCAACTCGATCTAATAAATGCCTATACATCTTATGTTGGCACTGTAGTGAGGGTGAAAGAATCTATTATCATATTAACTCTATAGCTCAGATCTAAAAGTCCATGACTGTTCAATTGTTAAAATAAAATTTTCCACTGGATTGTTGCTATTATACACCAAAAAAACTGCTTTGGTTTGGTATTTACATATAGATTTCCAATTTATCCAAGGTAACCTTTTTTTAGAAAAATGAAGCAAAATAGACTGCTGAACAGAGATGTGGAGGCCAAGCGACAAAGGAGAATTTGGAAAGAAAACGAAGGCAGGCAGCGAAAATTAACCATAAAGATCAGAAGAAACACAGGGAAAAGATAAATGATAAACATCCCACTAACTACTGTTAAATTAGGCCTTCATCTCAAAAAGTATCTAATCATATAAGCATCTCTTAATGCAAATGTTATTCAAGAAAACCAAGTAAATCATTATAATAATAAATATTCGGATAACAGCACCCACTAAAATTGGAACATTTAAAATGGATTCAGTCTATCTGATGCCATCATGACATGTGGTTGGAACATTTGCAACATAATCAAATTTTCTTGTAACTTCATCAATACTGTCTGACAACCTTGTGAAAACAAATGAAAGATGTTCATAACATGACCACTTTAGCATATGACAGGTAGAAGCTGCAACATCCAGCTATAACATCAATATATGCTGAATATTACTAAAAACAAGAGGCCAGGCCAAGATTAAATAGTAGCATAAAAATGATGATCAAGCAAGAGAATGAGAACAAATCCACCCGACACCTATGATTCAGATTATACTAAATGATGCACTATGATGAAGACAGTTTAAAGGCCTAAAGAACTTCATAAATTGTTGAAGATTTTTCTCTACCTCATGGTTTGACCGCTTTGCACTTCAGCCCCACTAGTTTGGCAGATCTCAGACTGTGCTTTGTTCATATACAATGCTTGGTTCAGGATCTAATGCCATCAGCTTAATATTCACGTGGACAGAATGAAGCTAACCACATGTCACTCGCATGGACCCAAGTGACAAACATCAATGCAGCATGCTAATGTATCAACCACATGGCACTAGGCAGCACGCACAGATCCTAAGGACCCATGTCGTGTTGCATTTGTTGCCTTTATATAACATGTGGCATCTATAAAACACATGAATGCAACATAAGCATCACATAGATACCGAACCAGTGCTAATACATGTAAGATTTTGATGTCTATCAGAGATGGAATTATTTGCCTTCATTTAATATGTAACCTCTACATGGACAACATATGATGCCTATGTGAATTTGATAAAGAAAAAACTGTTTCATGGAGGTATTTGCCAAAAAATGAACAAGAAAAACCACGGGGCCTGCCAGGAAAACAACCAAACTACAAGGGAGAAGGCGATATTTCCCCTACTTTTAGGGTGATATACAATTGGAACAGACATTGAGGTTCATCTCACACACAAGAGAGATGAAGAATTAAATTTCAGATTAGATTGTAAGCGCAAAAGAATGACTAGATTTAGTTTATAACATTCTGATCGCACAGAACTACAACAAATATGGAACATGAGTTTAACAATTCCACCTGCTTCTCTAGGAAACAATTCAAGAGAGTTCTATAAACTCCTTAGGCAAATCCATGTCTGGAAAAATAATATTTGGCAGAACTTAAATAAATTTGCAAGAAATGAACTTAAATAATTTTTTTTACTATATGGTCTCAGACCAAGTCCCTCTTTCATCCATAAAAATGTCAGCACAAAATGCCAAGATACTGAATTTTAGAATTTATATCCACAAATAATACATATGATACTACGTACCAGGTGGTATACTGATCTGTACAACGTACATGTTCCAGTGCTGATCCTTGGTTTAAACAATATTGAGATCTCGGTCATAGTGACTATTAGCAATAATCACAAACCAACCGCTAGCAAGACATTAAAGTCTCCTTACATTTATGGTTCACTTAGAATATCTGCACCTCTTGCATATGACATCTTTCGGTACGAATAAGCAGTACATACAAAAGGAGGTGGCTGTGGCATCATTAGAACTACTCAAGCTAAAGACTACTAAAAGGTCTCTCTGCGTGATCGCAGACCACCAAGAAGTTCTTCCTTTCTGGACTTTTCCTTGCTAGTATATTACTGATTTAACTTAGAATATCACCAACAATTATCTCAAGAAGATCACCTTGAAAACAGTCATCAATAGGAAATCATCTTCAAGAAGATGAAGACAATTAAAATGGGTCTTCTTCTTTATAACCGAACTGTGTCAGGATTTCCCTTCTTCATTGCTTTCTTTAAGTTTCTTCCGTCACGATCCACTCAATTCGATTCCACGATGAGAAATCACCAACCTCAACCAACTTCTCACACGTTATCGAAGCAATCTCCATCGTAAGGTTTCGAAAGAAACAAGACAGCAAACCCTTAGATTCCGGTACCAGCCCTAACCCAGAAAATCACCTCGAAAACTGTCATCAGTAGTACATCATCCTCTCTGGTGGTGGAAATTCTAAGAAGATGAAGAAAATCAAAATGGCTCTTCTTCTAAATAGCCAAACCATTTCAAGCTTTCCCTTCTTGATTGCTTTCTTGGATTTTCTTCCATCAAGATCCTTTCAATTCGATTCCACGATAACAAATCACCAACCTCAACCAACTTCTTTCTATCACCGTTATCAAAGCCACTCCATCGTAGGGTTTCGAAAGATCCAAGATAGCAAAAAAACCCTAAGATGCTGGTATCAACGCTAACCCCACCCCAGACGAACTGAAGAAAAGGCATTCCAGATCGTAAAGAAGGAAGAAACAGCGAATGCAAGATAAAAGGATCCAAAGATTACCGCAAAGAAGCGACTACCCTCCTCGTTTCGTCGGCGCCGATCAAGAAGGAGAAGATTTCTTTCCGTCTATTTTAACGACTCCGACGCGATTGGCCTCAGCGCCTTCTCCCCGCGATATATCTACGTTCTATATGCGTGCATCCACGTATTCGGGTAGCATTAGCCGTCTGATTGGGAATGGACGGTCACTTTCACCATCGCAATGGAGGAGCACGGTCGTCTCAGGAGATATGATGAGTCACATGATCGAGTCAAGTCATGTTAGTTAGCATGATTCGTGTGGCCGAACATCCACACGAGTTCACGTACACGTGTACGTTTCCGCGATACAAACACCTCCGTGCACGATTTACCGTATAATCCCACAGACAACAATATATATATATATATATACACCTCAGTAAAAATGAAAATGACAAAGCAACTTTAACATGCGGTCTTTTGCAGAGTGGCTGAGAAATCACATGCTTAGGTTCAGAGGAGATCGTCCTTACATACTGATGCTGCAAACAATTTCCAAGGCTCCATGTCCTGTGACGCTGCGTCTGCTGCTGCAATCTGAGTGTCGCGTTCATGTCCTCCAATTATAATCCTCTCAGAAGACATCACACAGTTGTTCGCATGCTGCAGGCTAGCCAATGTGTTTATTACAACCTGCATCAAAGCTTTCCTTCTTCTTCTTCTTCTTCCTCCTCCATCTCATGCTAACTCAGAAACCAATTACGATACCATAAACAAAAATCATGTTCAACACAGTGGCAATGCTGTTCCACTTGAACATACTAAATCCTGTCACTTGCACCAAAAGCTCAATAGAGTATGTAGCCTTTTAACTGAAAGACACAGCTGGGGATTTTTTTATGTGGACAACTTGTACTTTTTCTAATTCAGATGTTAATGTCTGGTTGAGACACATCAAAATCAGTTTTGATCGCTGACTTGCTGCCACTGGCATATCTGAGATCATAATATCTTTTTATAGATATCAATCCGAGATCTTCTTTCGTAGATTATGCCGACCAAAAGTTGGCTCAAAGAATCCAATCACCCTGTTTTCTTGTTTTGCAGTAGTACATGACAAACATCACCGAGACATGCGGCTGATTTCTTGCACAAATGATGTTGCTTTAGTCCATTCTGTCCTCCGAATACAGACTTGAGGAAGTGAGGAGCTAAACATACAAACCATCTTATAGATGATGAGACCATGGCCACCAAAAATCCAAGCAGATTGTGGTGATCCAGGGAAAAAACACCCTCACAAATTAAATAATGTCTTCTTCTTCTTCTACTTCTTCGTTATCTACTTCTTCTTGGGATATACAAACTATAAGAATTGTAGGAATAGTCATGCAGTCAAGAATTGCCTTCTCGGACTCCGATGGCCAGAATCGTGGGTCCTGCGATGCTCGCCGGAGTCCACGAAGTTCTTGAGCCGTTGCATGGAGAGGTTGAGTGTGTCCTCCGACATGTTGGCGAAGCAGACGCGGAACCACCCCGGTTCGTCGCAGTGGCACGAAGAGCCCGGCGAGATGTTTAGTCCCACTTGATACACTATCTTCCTCCACAGCTCCATCTCTCCTTTGAAGGTGTCGGACTTGAGCAGGTGTCTCATGTCCACCCAGCAGAACAGACCCGCGTTGCTCTCTAAGCATCTGATCCCGATCCTACGAAGCCCTTGCACGAGCAGGGCGTGCCGTTCTTTAATCCTCCTCCGGTTCTCGAGAATGTACTTCTTGGTGAACTCATCGTCGGAGAGCAACGCTGCGAGGAGGTACTGAGTCTGAGAAGATATCAGACCGAAGCTGGACATCTTCGTAGCGGCAGACACCACCGCGTCGTTGCCTGAGTAGATTGCACCGACGCGGAATCCCGGGAGACCGAGACCCTTGGAGAGGCTACACACGATGTGGACGCGGTGGGCGACGTCGTCCCTGTCCTTGATGGCCTCGGCGATGCTGACGAATTCCGGCGAGTCGAAGCTGGTGCCCGAGTAGATCTCGTCGCTGATGAGATGGATGTCTTTGGCAACGACGAAGTCGATGAGGGTGTCCAGTTCTTGCCGGGTCATGGTTGTGCCCAATGGGTTGGAAGGGTTGGTCACGAGGACTCCCTTCACCCTGAGGCCACGCTTCTGCGCGTGTCGGTGCGCTGCTTCGAGGGCCACTTTGGTGACTCGGAAGCCATTGGAGCTGGAGCAGTGGATGGGAACGATCTCAGCTCCGGTTCGCCATTTGAGGTCCCTGTCGAATCTGTCACACACAAGTTTGAGCAATGCGTGCATGCCAAGAGTAGTAGTAGTAGTCGTCGTCGAGGTTTTGCTGTCGATGCATACCCTGGATAGTATGGAGTGGGCAGAAGGAAAGCTTCTCCGGGCTCGGCAAGGCAGAACATGAGTGTCTCGTTGGCAGAAGTGGCACCAGCAGTCAGGACGAGCTTGCAGGGCTCGAAAGTTACTCTGTTTCCTCGTACTTCTCCCATGAATTTTGCCAATGCCTGCGGAAGTACGCAATGCAGGGATCGATAAGAAATCAAACCATTTCTTCTGATATGATATCCATGATTCATCTGCTTGGGTTTATAGACTTACGCTCTTGAAAGCAGGTAAGCCATGGTAGTCCTGGAACAGAGCAAGCTCCCGGAATATTAATGCGCCGTCTTTCTTGAATCCGGCGGCGTCAGGGTGGGTGTGCAGCCACGACTCGATAAGATCAAAGCAGAGCTGCAAGCATGCATGACGAGATCGTTAAGCATGGGATTAGTTTGTGTATGAGCGCAGAACTTGTTCGAGAGAGAACCAACCTGGTTCTCGGCAAGACCCATCTGAATCATCCCTCCGGGGTTCGTGATTGGATCATAGGGGTTCTTCTCGTACTCTTGCCACCCTAGGAAGTACGAGGAGTCCTGCCCATGAACGTTGCATGCTGCCTTTCTAGAGAGCAGCTTCTGATTCATTGTGGTATACAATGAAGAGATGATGTACGTACAGAACAAGACAGAGATTCTGCCCAACAGGGATTACGAACGCACACACAAACAGAGAGAGAGAGAGAGAGAGAAAGAGAGAGAGAGAGCAGTGGGGTGATGCATGAATGATGGTAACCAAGCTATTTATAGAGATTTTGTGCCAGATAAAAAAAGGGCCACTTGCTGTGGCAGAGAGATGAATTGTTGATTACACTGTAGGAGATCTGTTGGGACAATGATGTTGGAGAGAGAGAGAGAGAGAGATGTTCATAAACAAGCATTCCTATTTCGAAATCTGTGAAAGGATGTGATGCTCGATGAATTGAATAATGGAGTCTGAGAAGAACGCTAGCTGTAGAGATATGTCCACAAGCGATCGAGGAACGAGTTCATTAGTGCATTCTTCCACCTCTCTGTTCCTCTCATCGATTCATTTACATTAAAATAGCGTTTCCTGCAAGCTCCAGTCGTCACCAACACACAGTTGGTGACAGCGGGGATGATCACCTCAAGAACAAGTATGGTGGTGCTGCAGCAGCGTACCAGAAAATTGGAGCCACTCAATCCTCTGTAAGATTTCTGGTCACTCCAATCCATCTCTGTGATAACGGAAGCATTCTGAAGCTGTTTTATGATCTTGACAGAAAGGTGTGCAATCCGACACGCTCGGGTTCCTTTCAAATCAATCTGCTGCAGCAATACGATGAACAGCGATATCAGACATTCTCACGACCCATTTCCCTTTCAGGTTTCTCGCGCACCACACGCCGAGCAGCAACGAAACCGGCGACCGCCGCATGTTTCGCCTCCCTGGTTTGGTGGTGTATGACTTCTGGTGACATGAGTAATCTCTTCCACTATTCAATTCATCGACAAAGCTTTGACCTGATGTTATCAAGAAAACCGGTGTCACACGCTTGCATTGCACATCCCTGAGTCAAACAGAGAAGGAGTTGTGTTTGACCTGGCAAAACAGAAATAAATATAAAGAAGGCTGACTTTTCTACCTGCGTCAGCCATGGAGAGATCTTCCCATGCAGCTTCCTCTCAGCTTAGTCTTAAGTCTTCTTCGTCACCTTCCACCAGTCGGCCTTTTTTATAGGTTTGGAGTACCTTTCTGCATTAACTCAGAGCCAAGAGGACACTTTAGCTCACAGCCAGGAGGACTGAAACAAGGATACTCTTTTGAAGAGAAAGTTGACTTTAACACTTATTATTCTACCAACTCAGCAAGACATGAGCTTCTACTACTATTATTCAAGTACCTACTCAGTATGTAACAAGGAAGACTACTGCAGAGACTAGGAAGGCATGTTGAGCTTGATTTAATGAATGAATAATGGAACTACTAACCTGTGGGATTTTGCTGCTGAAGAACAAGTCACCAATGTTTTGCTTTCTTTGCTGCATGAACAAAGGCCAAGGATGTCTACAGCATTGCTGGCTCACGGCAAGGCTCAGAATCTGCACACTTGAAATCATAGCGGCCCTGGTTGTCATGTTGCTCTCACCATCCTTTTTTAGGCCATGACATTGCTACTCTTCTTCCAATTCCTTTGACACACATGAATTTTTTTCCCTGCCAGGTGATCATCCATGTAGGGGAGACTTCTTTCCTTCATCAACTACAACGACAACAACAACGACATACAACTACTTAGCAGTCCAGTGTAGCAATGACGGATACATTTAGCAACTACATATCGGCTTCTTGTCCAAGTGAGTACAGCAATACAATTAAAGCACTTCTATTTACAACCTAAAACCATGAATCAGAATTGTCCCTTGTCTTGTGATTTTTGTTCATGTAGGCCCATATGAGCTTCAACTTGTTTGACATGAGGAGCATATGATGTTGTCCCTTGATTATTCAAACCCTTGGTCCTGTTCATAACTTTATGTTGACATGGAAAGGCTGTTACATGCTGCAAACAACTTCAAGAAGAAGCTTTCTTCACCTTGTTGATACATATTGAAGTATTACATTCTGCAAACAGCTCCAAGAAGAAGTTTTCTTCACCTTGTTGATACACATTGAACCCTCAGACACTTGTATTCACCAATGCCATTTCAGTTTGTATCTAACTTCGGTCTCTCAACCTTAATCAAACTCGAAAATCCATGAAGTCAAAACCAAGGATCTAAGGTTATTGACCCCAATACTTTCCTGGCAAAGCTCCAATTTCACCTGCCATAATTTCATCCAGACAAGAAAGGGCTCGAATCACAGGCTAACCCTGGGAATATAATATAACAATGAAAAGTTTGCTTATAGTATTGAAGTCAATGAACTATATTATCCATGGATTTGCTTCCGATGAAATCAAATCAAATTTGGTTTATCTCCAGCTAGCCTATAGTCACTATACTAAAAAGACAGACATACCACTTGAAACCAGTAGTTTAAGTCTTCCATTACATTCAGGTTACCTTAAGAAATTTTGAGTTTGATAAAGTTCCAGCTTGCATTATTAGCTCCAAGTTGGATCTTCGGGATCCAGTTCCACATCTCATCCACAAAGTTTAATCCACATGATGTTTAATGGCCAAACTCTTCCAATTTGGAGAATTTGACCAAACACTGATACATCTTGTACACATACAGCACAATTTATACCTTTACAAGGTACAGGAGAAGCCGAATAATGGTATCATATTCCTGGAACTTTCAGTAAATATTTCCTTTACCAAATATGAAATTATCCTGCATCCCATCTCCTAACCTTTCCTCTCCAACTGAAAACCACAGCCAAGAATAAACTGAACAGGTTAAAGATATAACACAAGCCATGAAAGATCTATAAAGCCACCACATTTTCTCAAAGATGTCAGTTTCTTGTCTTCCAACTCTGCCACTAAAATGTTCTATCATTAACTAACTTGCTCTAAAAGTGTCGATAAATGATTCGGACAACTTGATAAGTACAATGAAACATTTATTGAAACCAACCAAAAGTGTGCAGTGTTAAGACTAATACCAAGTAAGGTTCCTTATTCTGGATTCAACCCTGAAAGTATGTGGGTTTGGTGAGGTCATGTTATCAAGGCGAGTTTACTGGGCTGACACCTTACTATTTACAACATCAATAGAACTGGTTGGTTGGTTCAGGACCTTCAGGTTGACCTGATAGTGCATGTATGTTTAAAACACACATAGACACTTGATTCTAAGATCCATAAGAAAACAAATTTATTAAACAATTCCTTGCAAAAAATGCAATATTAAATGATTCACTAAAAAAGTAAATTGTTACATCCTTGACGTGGGATCCCATGAAACAAGAATCACAATCAATCCATATCGAAAGTTAAGATGAAAAGCAAAGTATGAATAGCTCCCATGAAAATTGTACCTATTACTTCTCAAAACTTCTGAATTTTTTAATTGTAGAATTTTTCACTTGAGGATCCTGAATTCATAATGAACGAAGAGGATGATGATGTAAACATCATAAGCCTTGCTAAGCTCATGCACCGAAGAACAGTTCCTGAACATTTGCACCTCTCAGCCTAGTCATTCCATTCGTTCACAGGATTTGGACAATTTGATGAAGCAAAGATGCAAATTACTGTGAAAAGCTCTCTTGCAGGAGATTGTGGCACTTGTGCAGCCAATACCCTTCATAAAAACATTCATAATGGTACGTTCTTCAGTTGTTAATCCAAACCACCACTTGAAAACCAAGAAATAGGTCAGGTCTTCATATTGTAATGTTGCTCTATTCATCCAAAACATGATACAATGACCAACAACAGCCAGCTGGCAGATAACAACACTATCTGGAATAGCAATATTACTAAATACTTGGTAAAGTACTTGCCACAAGGAGGAACTGAAAAAATCCATCCTCCAGAGATGCAGGAGACGATGCACAGAGCATGCCAATATCATCGCAGCAGGAGAGGCCTACATAGGAATTGGAACCAGGAGGGTAGCTGGGGATGGGGCTAGAAAAAGACATTGGTATCATGAAATCAAAAAAAGAGAGAAGGCCTGCAATTAAATTAAGGCAGCCTTACGAAATCTCTATAATTGAGATTCTCACATTAAGGTGTATAGGACTCTTCAGTGTCGGGATCTAATTGACCAGAAGGGCCCCGACCCTGACGGTGACTAAATCGCTGCCTGCGACTCTTTTCCTCTTTCCTCTTCCTCTGTGCCTTAGCCTTAGCCTTTGCCTTCTCTTCAAGGTCTCTCACCCCTCGCCTTTTGTACTTTTTGAAAGTAATGTGCCTCTCCTCTGCCATTTTCCTCACCTTCTCAGTTATTTCTACTGCAATTTGCCGGTTGTACAGCTTCTTCAACCCCTTCATGAGTTTCGCAAATGTGTCAGGCTGAGGCATTAGCCCAGAGTCGAGCATATCCAAACAATAAGAGCATGCCTCTTTGACATGCTTCTTTGAGAACAAAGCATGAATCCATATAGTCCAAGCATACACATTTAGATCACAACCATTGTTCACGATGCAACCCCAAACCTCCTTTGCCAATTCAAGCTTCTCAGCTCTCAGTAGCGCATTCAGTAGGTCCTTCAAAATGCCATACTGTGGGGCGGTCAAGAGGCCTCGTCCCACCATATCTTTGAAGTATGTACATGCCTCGACCAATGAACCATGCTCGACAAACCCATGCACCATGATCACAAAAGTATCAAGGCCTGGACTAATCCCACTTGCTTCCATCTCATTCCAGATAGCAACGGCTTGTTTCAACTCCCCGAGCTTGCAGACCAATCTGATAACTATGTTATAGATGCCAAGATCAGGAAGACAGCCAGCATTGGACATTCTACTCATGAGCTCCAAGCACTCCTCCAATCGATCCTTCTTCTCATAAGCTGCAAAGATGTGAAAGTAAGCACTCGAATCAGGCCTCAATCCTTGCTCCGCCATTTTGTCAAGGAACTCATATCCTCTGTCAATCTTCCCTGACCTACAAAACCCACTAATGAGAGTGGCATACGTCACGGCATCCGCTGCACAATTATTACGCCTCATTTCCACAAACAGCCACATAGCCTCATCCATTCTGTCCCTCGAGCAAAGTGCCTGGATCAGGGTGGTGTATGAAACCACGTTAGGCTTGCATCCCCTCCGCCCCATCTCTTTTAGGAGCTCATACCCATCCTCCATCTTCCCGGCAGCAGCAAAGCCACCCAGCAAAGTGTTAAAAACAACCACATCAGGCTCAAAGCCAGCATTTTTCATCTGAACCAACACAAATTTAGCCTCCATGAGCTTCCCCAGCTTGCACCAGCCGTAAAGAAGCGAGGTGAAGTGCTTCAGGTTCGGGGGATACTTCTCCTTCAAGTCCTGGAAGAGAGAAGCTGCCTCCTTTACACTACCATTCTTGCAGAGAGCGTCCAAAAGGCAGCCAAAGACATGTTCGTCGGCCTCACAGCCATAGTTGGGCATTTCATCGAGCACCTCGACGGCCTTGGCGACCATACGGGCGGCGGCGAACCGCCGGATAAGGCCGACGAAGAGGTCGGGGGTGAGGAGGTCAGGGGTCTCGCGGCGGATCTCATCGACGAGAGCCCAGGCGGCGCCGAAATGACGCATCTTGGAGAGGACGCGGACCATGGCGCGGCGGGCGGCAGGGGACGGGGGATGGTCGGGGCAGCGGGAGGCCCAGGAGAAGAAGCGGAAGGAGAGGGCGCCGGCGTCGCCGCAGCGGCCGATGACGCGCTCGAGGAGGCCAGGGCGGAGGGAGACGCCGGAGTCGCGAAGGGCGAGGTCGAGCTTGGGGGGGCGCGAGTGGAACTTGCGGAGGATGCGGTAGATCCTCTCGACGTCGGCGGAGAACTCGTCAGCGGCGGAGGTGGTGACGGTACGGCAAGGAGTATGGCTGAAGGGAGATCCAGTTACGGGGATGGCGGAGGAGAGGGATCGGAGGACGACCAATCTTCTCCAACAGCAATAGGAGGAGACCTTCTGCATTGCTTTGTTCCCCCACGCCACGCCCGCAGAGCGGCACATTCCAAGTGTCCGTAAAAAAGGCTTAGCAATCTCTTTTATTGCATCCACTCTAATCAACCACTTAATTTCTTTTTGCAACATATCACAATCTTTAATAAATAAATAAATAAAAAGAAAAGGAAGAAAATTAGGATCTCAACAGATGTAAGACTATTATTTCACGGTAACTTACCACATCGATATCCGATCAAACGGATCCCGTCGACATAATCGAGTTAGCTCTTCCTCTCACTCGACTTCACTCTGATCGTTGATATATTGTTGCCATAAATCAAACAGATACTTGAGGAGTCAAAGTGCAACTGAGTTGATGTTGGGTTGAGATAAACCACAAAAGCTAGTCAAAATTACAGTACAATTCCCAGCAATCTCGGCTTACTAGACCAGTAGCAAACATCACTTGCATTCCCATAAATGAAAATTTAACATGGCACATGTGATAAGGGCAAAGATGCTACAGATTTGACTCCGTATATGGGCACAAACATTTTCCACTGTTTCAATTAACAGGAGGAGCTCTATAATATGCAGGGACAGTAGCAGGGAAGAACATTTGCCGGACGCCTTCTGCTTTAATAATCGGGAAAATGATACCTGCTGCACCCTGCCAAGAAAAAAATGGATATCCACATCTTATAAAAAGAATCTACGACAAACTGGAAACTCCTGATGTGAAAGGCGCCACAGAATCATTACTTACAGAAATCAGTCTAGCTCCAATCCACAATCTCTCCAGCGAAGGAAAGGGCAACAATAGACGGCCAACTCCATAGATAGCAACGGCAAAGAAGTGCGCAACCAAACTCAGGGGGCGGGGATTAAGACCAGAGAGTAAAGCAATTGGCCCACTTGAGAAAACACCTCCAAGGCTCAGATAATCGAAACAGGCTTGTCGCATTTCATTCCTAGCTTGATCGGGTGATGCACTGAATACCTTGTACAAGGCGCCTGCCAGAGTGTTTATTGTAGAAGCAACCGGCTGAAAAGAAAAGAAAAAGCATTTACACCCACGGTGAACAGAAAATTCGAAAGATTCGGAATGAAACATGGAAGTCCATGACATAGCATAAAAATTTGAGTATGCAAGGAGAATACGGTTTTACTTTCCGCAAAGTGTAGAAGGATTCCAGGTATTTGCAGAGAGCGGCAGCATCATGAAGATCATGTAGAGGCTTAAGAAGATTACGTAGCACGACTATATCAGACAAGGCCACTGTCATTCCTCCTCCGGTCAGAGGATGGCGCATATTAAATGCATCGCCCATCAAGAGGGCACCAGCTGTTGGATGAGGAGCAGCTGGCATGCTTCTGTTTGGCATAGTTCTAATGCTTCCCTTGTCAATGGCCGCTACAAAAGAATCATGCAGTTCGGTTGGAACCTGAAACGACTCATAATATGTAAACATATCTTATATGCTGCAAGAGGGAGAGCTATACATTATCTGATGGTCACAGGAATAACTTCGCAAAAGGAAATTCCAATAATGTAACAAGAAATTATGGCAATTTGCATTACTAACTCAAATGTACCTGAGGTGCCACCATCGTCTTCAGATAATTTGCCATTTCACCATTAGCAATAGAAGGTACCTTCTGTCCAGGTACATCAACCAAACAGCGAATCTCAGTGCTACTAATTGGGTAAAACAATATTGGTGAAGGATTTGCTAAGATAACATGCCCATGATCCGGAAAAGGAAGTTGGCAGTTCTCTAGAACCAAACCAACAAAACAAGAAGGTACATCCACCTGTAGGGAAGAAATTTATCAAAGGGATTATGTATGTCATGCAGCACTCAATGGAGGACAAATGTGCCTTCTCTAAGTGTCACGAATGTCAAATAAGATGCTTGAGAGAAGAGCAAGAGCAGGGCTTGAAACGGAAAATAAGTATGACCATTTTACTAAACTTTGAACAAAAATGTCAAAATAAACATTCAGTTATTAAAAATAGTTCTTTTTTACCTTAGGAGAGCAGAGTGTGCGCCTCAGATTCGAAAAGCAGCCATCACATACAATTGTAAGAGGTGAAAGAGCTTTGAATTCTTCACCAGATTTGGTCTTGTAGACTACCCCCTTGACTGTTCCATTTTCTTCAATCAAGGATGTCACGGTTCCCTGTTCCAACCGAACACTGGAAGAAAGGTTTGATGTAACTTTAGCATGGCAGTAAAGAATCCAAAAACATATGAGAAGTTTAATGTATGAAACTGAAATTTTAACGTGTTGAATTGCATACTGATGATACTTTATTACATCCATATCGTGAAAGAACATTTTTTTACTCCATTAAATCAGCTCATTGTGAAGAACTGAATAAGTAAGGATATTTAATTGTCAATATTAAACATGCAATGAAAATCTTTACTGGATAAGGAATCACACTGAATTATCATTTCTTTCCCAATTCTCTTTTTCTATAAGAAGCATGGCTGAGGTTTCCCAGTTCAAAAATTAGATAGAAGTCATTTTCAATATTCTTTTGTAAGTTAATACGAATTCAACAACAACAATAAAGCCGTGAATCCTAACCTTCATTTACTACCCTATCCTAGGTGCTTTGAATAGTGTAACATCCCGATTAATCCCACGTCAAAAGTGGGCAAAAACTATGATTGGCTTATAAGGGCCTGAAGAGTGTCAGACTATCAACTTCAATTTAACTATCTTGACCACTGATTTAGGTCAAACAAAGTTGATAGGCTAATTAGCCCATAAACTTATAATTAAAAATTTACCTTCCATATACAAAGCATAACACCAATCAACAAAAAAGTTATACCCACATTTCATATGAATGCAATATGTTATTGTTTTGAACACGGACTTATAACTAAAACAAATGGTAAAAAGTTTTAAAATGGATGAGCGATTACTTAGGCAAGGACGCTGCCTTCTCTCTCATCCTTTGGATGAAACGCCCATTATGGAAGCTCCTCCCAGCAATGTCTGAATGGAATTTCTCCAAAGGGTATGAGAGTTTGGTACTTTTATCATCTTTAAAAAGAGCATAACCAAGGACTCGCTGAGCATCAATTTCGTCGACACAGTCTAGAGGACACAGGAGGGAACACAAATATTAGAAAATATGTTGCACTCAGAACAAACATCTAGATGCGAGACAAATCAAATTCTCCTTGACGGCAAAAATGAAACTAACATTATAATACAAGATTTGGAAGTTTTCAATCAAACAGAGATCATGAAAGTTTGGATGCAGCAAATCATTCAAATATATCCAGAATGATCGGTTTGACGACTTACCCTCAAGGCCTAGCTCTAACAATTTTAGGTAGCCTCCTGGTTGCAAAAGTTCACCAACAATTCTGTCAGGCTCAGACAAATCCCTCTCGATGACATGGACACGTCTACCATCCTACACATTAGTTTGTTCAGAAAATATGAAACCACTTTGTAAACTTCAATCTATCTGTAGCACAGTCTTGACTAATAGAACTAAGATGCATACAATTCAGACCCTCAGAGAGAAATTAGAATGATTGATCTAAGATGCGTCAAATAACAAACAAATGCAACAAATGGTAATAGATGCATGCAAAAAAGATTGGAATCTCAAAACATTATAATGCTGTCAGACTATGACAGTAATTTCATAATCATCAATAGTACACTTTTGCACCTTCATCTTCCATATAATGCATTATTCTAAGCTCTATTTTTCTTATCAAAATATGGATGCATATGTGTGGCTTTTGTTGTTACTTGTTAGTATTGAGTAAAAAATCATCTGAAGATTTGGCTCTTTAGCTAAAATAACACTTTCGAGAAAGCTGTGGTAATCCTTGGAATTTGTGTTTTCATTATGGGGGGTTTTTTTTTCACTAGAAAATTACATTCACCAAAGGATCGTACTAAAATTCTTCTGCCACTAGAAATTCCAAAAGAAAATACACCTTTTCCTTATCAATCAATAGGTGATTGTCCTACTTCTAGTAACTTAATTGTCAGTAGGAATCCATTTTAATGAACCTAAGTTGTTTTAACTCTTTTTTTAATTTTAATGAGTACTATAAAGCATAGATAACATATAGAATGAGCAATATATATAATGAATCAATCATCAGAAATGCAGAAATCCAAAAATGGAGAGGCTTTGCGGAATTAAAGGCTAAAAGGCCATTCATATTATTTTAACCCTGCACCGTATTGGTGGCTGCAAGAACTCCATTCACCCTATCAGTGCATGCTTGCTAGCGGTGGAACATATTCCACATATTCCAACCATGTAAGTACCCAGTCTAAAGGCGAGTTGAGGATTCATGTTCTTTGAGTATTTACTTTACTCAAATTTAGATCCATGGATTCCATTAACCATTTCACCAAGGGAAATAAATTGAAGAACAGGGAAGGAACAAACTAGCAGGCGGGTAAAAGAGAAGCTCCACAGACGCAAGAATCGCAACAAACGGGGTACACGTCGCAGAAACCAAGTCTTTTCCTTTCTTGATCCGTCATCCGCAACGCACATGCACAAATGGGAATATGGGAATCCACAACTCCGATGAGAAAAATTAGGAAAAGAGGAAAATACAAAAGAAACAGAAGATCTAACCTTCCCCAGCGCGTAAGCGAGGGCAGAGCCGGCAACGCCGGCACCCACGATGATAACTTCGGTTCCCCCGTCTCCGGGGACCACCGGGCCGGAACCACACTTTCCAGCAGTACGACGCGCCCTCCCCTTCCAGCCATGGAACCCTACGTGCAGGAGGAGGAACCCTAGGATCGAAGCGACGACGGCTCCCAACAGGTATTGATCCGCCATTGTCTTCTCCCCAAGAGGAAACCTTCTCTCGTCTCCCTCTTTTACCCTCTCTTTCTATCCTGTTCTCCGACCATACCTCGCTGTCATCAATAAATAGAAACAGCGGGACTGTGTATATATGTAGAAAATGTTGCATTTTACAAGCAATTTAACGTGGAAGAATGGTCAAAGTTCAACTTATGGTCCAACTTGGCTTCAATCCGAAGCCAAATCTGCCAGTCCAATGAAACCAGCTGTTTCCTGGTGGAGCCGTGACCATAAAGGGGGCGTGTCGGGCAACGAACAAGACTATCTGATTACTTGCACGTTACAACACGCCGCACGAATCTCCACGTTGGAGTGCTTCAAGATCTGTGCCCGGGGTAGGGCTTCACACTTGTGGCGGTCGGTGCTGCAGATTCCCACCAAATCAAATCATTATCATGATCGTGTTTGAGTGGTGTTATGGAATTTGGAGCGGATCGCCACACCTTGCAAAATATCACAAGAGCAAAAGGCGGTAGACCGAGAGAATTGTCCACGTGGCTTCTCCTATGGAGAATAACGTGTACGCTTAGGGCGCCCCACATAAGAGGGAGAGGATCCCCTCCAATTCGTACCGGTTCAATCATTTTATTCTCCCAAATCGATCGTGCGTTCCACCCGCTTTCGAATCCCAACCGTTCAATTGTATCGTTCGCGTGGACGGACAAATACCACACACGTGTCGGTATGGGCCGCGACGTGGGTTGATCGTGACACGAAAGCAGATCGAGTGAAAGCATTAATTTGCATGGGAAAGGCCCATAAGCTTTAGTACAGACAGGCGGACGGCTGAGATGAAAAGTGAGTGTGGAATGGACGGCTGAGTGGCTTGCCAATGAATCTACCAAGTCAAAGGTGGGCTCAGCCTTCGATCCACTGGCAAAAGATCCATTTAATTTTATATTTTCAGCTGATTTAAAATCAAAATTAAATGAGATTTTAATTTTGATCAATTTAATTTTGATTTGATTTTTTATTCGAATAGCTAAGGGAAAATTACTGATAAGAGGGAATGCCCAACAGCATGGTCGTACTTGCACCAATAAATCTGACTTGGTAAAGGAGAATATATATATATATACAAACTATATGTACAACTGTGGCAAATCCAAGGTGGGTATATATATATATATATATATATATATATATATATATATATATATACAAACTATATGTACAACTGTGGCAAATCCAACTGTGACTATATGTACATCAGAGTGTGGGTATGGAAGCTGCATTACAGATGCTTGGATTCCTTAAAAACCCAAAATAATAATAATAATAAAATAAAAACAATTATACAAACTAAGTCACAAAGAAATAATATTTCAGCTATTTCAATTGCCTTTATGAATATTGTTTCATCATTAATATTTTACCTCATCCCTATGTACAACTGTGGCAAATCCAAGGTGGCATTGGTTCCCTTGGAACAGAGGATAGTAGGCCACAGGACAAGACCTGATTCTGTACCCCACTCATCTCTCTCTCTGTCTCTCCTGCCTCTGATCTCATGGCAGTGCCTACTTGAGGTGGTGATCTCCGTGATCCTGCAGCCTCTACACAGGAAAAGGATAAACTGGCCACTGCCTCTGCCTCTGCCTCTGCGTCTGCATGTCCTCTTGAGCTCCAACCATCGATTTTGAAGTCGTGGTCAAGTCTATCTATAACAATTGTATCTTTACTCTACAAAACATGGAGCTTTGTTCAAACAAATCAAAAGAAATCATGGATCAGCACAGCGAACGTTCGCTGCAGCTTCCGACATTTCGACGGACTCCTTGTACGAATGTACTCCTCCCCATCCATCACATTGTTTTAGCTCTTTAGACTCGAATAGATTACTCTTACCTCAAGGAAATGGAATGATTTCTTGGATTAGAACACAATTTACTGATTGATTAGTTTCGTCGCCAACTTCGGTATACAACAGATTTAAAAAAGATCATTTCTTTTCGTGGAGAAAGCAAAAGAAAAAGAAGAAGACGATGAAGAGAAGAATGAGAAGACATGAACAATAAAAGAACAAAAAGGAGCAAACTTTACTCTTGGAAGAATCAGAGGGTGCGCCAAAGACGGGATTTTGATGTCGCGTTCATGGTGGAACGGATCAGTAGTCGGGCATGAGGTGGGAGATCTTTCCCTCCTCGCCGGGCGTCATGGCTGCCTGCTCCGTGACGCGAAGCCAGATGCAGACGGCGGTGAAGCTGAGGACCAGGCTGAGAAGGCCGCTCCCGAGCCCAATCCCGATAATGGCGAGCACTGATAGTCCCCTTGGCCTTATTGGCGGCAGGGGGTAGCCGTACAGATCCCAGTTGCCGACGAAGGAGCTTGCGTTGAACCGCGGCAGACCCACCGCTGGCCCCGACCGGTTGGCAAGCAGCACGGGGATGGGGCCGGAGAGGCGGTTGTAGGAGACATCGAAGGTGGAGAGTCGGGCGAGGAGGCCGAGCTGGTCGGGGATGGGGCCGGAAAGGAGGTTGGCGTGGAGGTCGATGACGTTGAGGTAGGCGCAAAGGGCGAGCTGCGGGGGGATGGACCCGGTGAGGTGGTTGGAGGAGAGGTTGAGGACGGCGAGGTTGAGGAGGGCGGAGAGCTCCGGCGGGATGGGGCCTTCGAGCTGGTTGGAGGAGAGGTCGAGGGACTGGAAGTTGTTGCAGTTGGCGACGAAGGGGGAGATGGCGCCGCCGAGGGCGAGGCTTGTGAGGGACAGCTTGTAGACGCGCCCGTTGTTGCAGGTGACGCCCTGGAGGTAGGAGGTGAAGCCGTTGCAGGGGGCGGCGAAGTTGGATCTCGTCCAGTTCCGGAGGCTGCCGTTGGTGTCCGTCAGGCCCCGCCGCAGGTTCGACAGGCACGCCTCGTCGCCGGATTCCGCCACCGCCGGCGGCGGAAGGAGGAGGACTAGCTGTAGCGAAAGGAGGAGCTCCACCCACCACAGCGGCGGCAGCGGCCCCATTGGACGGATTGGGGGGGGGGGAATAAAAATGCGATCTTTGGTCCTATTCGCTCGTCTCTGCTCCGTGTTTTAAGTTATCATCATCTCCGTTGACCTGATCCAGACCCGGATTCTCGTCCATGGCGGAGGACTGAAGATGATCTCGCTACGCTTCACCGTGGCCTGTTCTCGATCGCCGACCGTGGATCTACCATCAAGATTGGGTCGACATCCAAAGACCCGACGCAGCACACAGCAGCGCCCCACTCCGAGAAGGGCAACCAGACGGCGCATCTCCCCACCCCGACTGATCTCCTCTCGCGTCCCCCACCACCCTCACCCTCGTCGCCGCCACTTGGAACACGACCCAGTTTCGGCCATGGCGCCGCAGTCTTCGGTGGAAGAAAGAGGACTCGGATGTGCTTCTGTAGATTCTCTCTCTGAAGCGGCAGCCATGCATGGCCACTCTGCAACTCCTGCGACCAATCAGATGCATGACCATCGAAATATCCACATCAAAATGCTTTGCAATAGTCCGGTCCAGTGGATGCATCATCAGCAACCACTCCCCAGCTTCGTTCTCAGTGGCGTCCCAACATCGACTCGGGTTGGTTATCAAGAAGAGGGTGACGGCAATTTACCATGCAGACCTTGCCTTCCTTTCATTGTTTGACCTGACCATCTCGACTGCAGCCGTTGTCCCAAAGATGAGAGATTCATATCTAGCAGTCCACCGATGCCTGAATCATCACAGATTTACTTGATTCATTACATAAACATGAAATCTGTACAGAAAGATGCATAGAAAAAACAAGCAAAATGAGAAATTAATGGCAGCAGCGTATACAGACACTTAACACATGGAGGAATTCGAGCAATGGCGAAGGCAGAGATGTTTCCTCCAAATGTGTCGATAGTGATATGGCACATTTTGGTATCATCAACGTGGACCTAGGCAAGCAGGGGTAATGATGCTGATATGAAACTTCAAGTCTGATGTGGCGTGTACGTACGTGACAAGCAGCCGCTCGTTACCCCCTTTGTATGAACGACATTATCACGGTACAGTCATCTCAGAAAGCTCGGGGGAGATGCCGATCTATACAGGTCGGTCGACGCTCGCATAAAAGCTTAAGTTGATCGCCCGAGAAGCCAACCGCAGTTAATTGACCCTGTACGACTAACTCATCCTCGCAGATATAAAAACTAACCCTCATTGATCATGAAAGGGGATTCAACTCCCCCTAACTCCACAATATTGATTTGAACTTCGGAGGGGTCGAGTCGAAAAATCTCCCTCCCAACATCGATCTTTATGCAGGAACCAACAACAAAACAACAGTAACCCATCAAGAGAGAACCGCGATCGAGGGACGACACTTGGATTGTAATATGGGTAGATTAATACCTGATGGGTAGTTGATATCGCATGACTAATATTTCGACAATACGAGGATACTAACTCATATTTCAACTCATAACAAAAGAATATTGACTTAGAATATGAAACGAGCCTGTACGGAGGTTGTGTTGCAGATTTATAATTATGCCTTTGAGTCTTTCGACCATAATTTAATATCCTATGAAATTTTATCACACTATATAAAATTTTATGTATGTTGTGTCACAAGGAGAACCTTCACTTATTACACAGAGATCATCCCAAATTATTTTTTTCACTAATTAGTCATTCTAAATATTTGACATTCAATAAACCTTTTGAATCTTTTGTCGATAATGCTTGTATCGCATTATTACAAAACTAAGTGAACGACACCACCTACCTTGATTAGTGACGTTCTAAAAAAAAATCATAATTAAATTTAAATCATCTTCTCGATCGAGTAATCAAAATATATTTTAACATATTATTAGATCAAAGGAGCTCTTCTTCTCATATGTTAACTATAGCTAAGTAAGGGTATATTTGAGAATACATTTAAAATTTACAATGCATATTTCAAATATAAATTGATGTTTGATTATTTTTTTCAAATCGCGCTCAGATGTCATATTAAAAATACTCAAATGTTAATAATATCTCATGGTAGAATTAGCATTTCAGTATTTGTGGGATGCTAACATAATTTTTTAAATTCTAAAAGTACCCTATGACTTAATCTAAAATTATAAAATTATCAAAATGATTTAGTGGGAAACCAATATGATTTACATTTTCACTAAGGTAAAAGTTTATTTTTATTTTTAAATGTTTATATTAATATATATGATTATATTTTATTTATTATATATTTGACATTAAAAATTTTATAAGATTATATATATTCATTTTATTTTATTTATTAAATTAAATAAAAATATGTTTAATTTTTAACAAATATTACAAATATAATTATATCAATTAATATTTATATTAATATATATTTAAAATATATTTTTTATCTATTATTTATTAAGTACTCAAAGTATTCATAAACGTAGCCTAAGTACAAGTCCCGTTATTAATGGATGTCTCCCGGGAGCACAAAATCCAAATAAAATCCGAGCTAGATTCCCTACCTTAAGCTGATTAGAGAGAGAGAGAGAGAGAGAGAGAGAGAGAGAGAGATTTTTCATGTGCTTTGTTGGATTATATATATATATATATATATATATTTATTTATATGGTTTTTTATATGCAACAATCACTCCCGTCTCAGATAGAGAGAGAGAGAGAGAGAGAGAGAGAGAGAGAGAGAGAGACCGAAGACTCTTACGATGCATGGCTTCCACGTGCCCATTCCCCCATGCACGTTCGAATCCCCCTGCAAGTAGCTCTCCGAGCAGCAGTAGCCTCAGAGAAGACGACGGACGAAGCCTTCTTTGCTGTCTAACGAGTGGAGTAGAATCGACAACATCCATGGCGATGAATCATATCTTCACCTTGGTCAACATGTTTCATTCTCGTCTTAAAGGTGATAAGCTAATCACAGAACTAATTTATGTGGTTTGTGATGTAGATAAACGTATGAACAACATGTTTCTTGTTTTCGTACTGTATAATGTCCATCCTACGATGCTGAAGCATCGAAACAACATGTTTCTTGTTTACTTTCCAGCAATAATGCACCAAAAGAGTACTGCTATGGACGACCTATCTATGGGAAATAGCAGCCATCAGCCAACCTATACGAAAAGTATATTTCATATCTTAATGCAACTTTGTTTGAACATCAATCACATCACATCACCACCCAATACATAGTGTATAAAGTTTTAAGTACAACGATGAGTAGTTTCTTTTGAGCAATAGTACTGGAAAAGACTTATTTTTATCAACGGTAAATATAGAGAGGTACGAAGCTTCCATCACATCTAAACTCTATTTTTATTTGCCACTATATATATATATATATATATATATATATATATATATATATATATATATATATATATATATATATTTCTATCGATGTCAATTTTTTTAATCTAATATCTCGAATACCTTAATGATCTTTTTTTTTCTTTTTATATAGACCAATTTATCAATCCGGTTCTAATATTTTTACACTACGTTATAATATTTCTAATAATATAAAAAATTATAACATGGTATAAAAATATGATAACATAGTATTTTACGTTATAGTGTCTTTCTAGTAGTGCTGAAAATACTATAACATAATGCAAACCATAATATTTTTTATATTGTTGCAGCGTATAATATTTTTTTGATATTGTTGTAAACACTATAATACGGTGTAAAAATATTATAACTTGATCGATTCACGATTAAATAACAAGAAAAGAAAGGAAAAAAAATGATGAATGGTTGGCTTTTAAGTCAAATGGTAAGTATTCAGAGAATATTGTGATCCCTTCCTCTGAATCAGTGTCAGAGCTTTCGTTGCGGGCACTCCTGTGAAAACACAAACGAGGAAGAAGAAGAAGGTTTTGGAACTACTGAACTCAATAAACCAGATTGCTACAATGATTAAGATCTCCTCACAGAGGTGCAATGAGAGCCCATCATCTCCAGGATTACTTCTTCTTTGATGTCTTCGAAAATGGTAGCTTCTATCTCTGCTCCAATGTCGGAAGCCTGAGGCTGGAACACACCCCATTCCCTCCCCGAGCTCGACATCTCTGAGCCTATCAACTGTCTTAATCTTGTAAACCTCGTCTTATTCTTCTTCTTCCTTCGAGGGATGACGAACTTTCCGGTTGTCTCAGGGGATTCTTCGTCTGCTTCCTTCTCACGGTGCAAAAGATGCACATCCGATCGATCGAACTGCCTCTTCGATCCAACCAGCTGATAGAAGGCAGGAGTGTAAGCTACCTTCAGAAGCTCGTTGAAGATGTCTAACACTTTTGTTGTCAGAGCGAAACCTTTGTTCTTTTCCGTGTCTGAACCAAGAGAAGCAGCAGCGACATGATTTGGTACCGCACCGAGAAACAGGAACAGAAGAGGAGGAAGAGATGGAAGACTCACGGCGGACATGAGGCACAGCAGCAGTATCGATCCAGTGCAAGGCGTTCTTCGTGGCCCTCCTAGAGAACAGCTTGCTGAGCATGTTCTTCACCGTCCCTTCTCTCCTGGTCCTGAAACGCCGGCCGGTCAGCTTCTGTGTCCTCATCCTGCATGGATTGCCAGGCCAGCAAGCAGGGCACGTAGACTGGGACGCGAGAAGCCTGTCCGAGTAGCCTCGCTCCAGGAGATAGACATCCAGCAGGAACGGCTCCTGCTGCTCTTGTAGCAGCTCGAAAAGGCGCCGTCGGCGGACCTGAGACAGGTAGGCCATATGGGTCGGAGAAGAAAGGTGGGAGGGAGGGAGGGAGGGAGGGAGTTCAAAACGGAGAGGAGGGAGGGAGGTGGAAGAACTACATGTCCTCGTGCAGATTCCCCTCGCCTGGAAGTCAGTCGAAACACTGCAATTAATTGGAAGAGTAGGAGGAGGAGCAGGAGCAGGCAATGGAGGGGGATGCAGGAGAATCCAGAGGCAGTTTGTGGGTTGCTTGTTTCTCGGTGAGGGAGCCCGGAGACATCTCATGCTCTTTTGGCTTTTCAGCAGCCACCATGTCACATCACATCACCAGGTGAATCGCCAGTGTACTCAATCTGCTGGCCAAAAGTTGGGTGGATTACTGCAATAAAAGCCCAATCATGCTGTATTCTTGTCTCAGAGAGATGCTGCTGGAGGATTTGGACTGCAGCAACTGTTGACATTATGTAATCCCATAGGTTTAGGAATGTAAATGGACAAAAGCATGTGTTGATGATCAGAAGGATTGGACAGCGGACAAGATTGAGCTGATTTAGCCTGAGTCTATCTCTCCTGCCTCCTCAAAAGACAAACAAGGCTGAGTTTTTGGGTGGTCAAAAGGTGATGGAGGTCGGAGGGATGTGTTCGGGCATGTGGAAATCCACCGAACGAGTCTTTTGGCTTGTTGGAAGCTTAGTGGAGAGGAGGGAGAGTGAAAAGTATACATCGGTGTTTCTGCTGATCGAGCTGATCATTTCAGTCAAATGATCATTTCATTATCCAGGAATAATAATATTAATAATAATAATAATTTATCAAGAAAAAAATAGTATTAGATATTTAGATGTCTCTATATTTGATTTTTATCGAAGAATTTTTTTTATAAAACTCTAATAATATCTTGATTATTTCAAGTCACATATTCGATTTGATCTGATCTAAATGATTCGGGTCAAATTACTTCGAATTGAGTCAAATTGGATCGTAACAAATCGAGTCAAACTTTATTGAATCTAAAGCCAATGTAATATGAGTGTAATGGACGTGGAATGAAAAAAGCAACAACGGAGGAGACAAAGTGGAGGTGAGGACGTGAGGATAATTTGAAGAAAAAAGAAAGATAATCCAAGACTTAACATGAATAAATTAAATATTTAGACTTTTATTAAATTGGTCTAATCAGATTTATATCAAATTAATTGATTTAACCCAAATAACCTACAATCAATCAGGGTCAACGGGTATTAGTTATATATTTTTATTATTATTTTATAAAAAAATATTTTGATCATAGTATTAAAAAAGGAGTATCCCTCGATAAAAATCAAATATGAGGATGTCATTTGATAAAACTTCATCACTATTTTTTTTAGATAAATTATATAATAAAATATAGTATTTTAGTTGAGAAGAGATGAAATATGGAATGTTAGGAATAGCTTAGAGAGATTAAAAGAAATCAGAGTCATGTTTGGATATGTATAGTTCACAAAGTTGACCAATTCATGTATAAGGTTCTCTATTTCTTTCCATTTCCTTCTTTTATATTTTTATATAAAATAATATTTACGTATTCAACGTGTAAATTGATGTTTGACAAGTCTTCCATATAAAGCAAAAAGATCTTCTTCACATCTTATCTTGACACCTTTTCAACATGTTCCCTTATGAGAGGGAAATTTGATCTATATCACTATCTAACGTAAATTCATATTTCTTTTCTATAAAATTTTATTTATTAAAAATATTTATTATATATATTTGTTTGATCAAATTGGAAAACTTTAATTTTTTTGTTACTCGATCCTAATTAGCACAAAATGTATTTATGATTGTAATCAATATTTATGATCAAATTTGATTATTAATTCGACTCATGATACTATTTGAAGACGAAAGATGCTTATATCTTACTTGTTATAAAAGGTTATGTTAGGGTTTTATCTAATAAAATCTCTCTAACAATCTATGAGTCAGGTGTTAGAGTTTATAACTATGTTAATAAATATCGAACGAAAAAATGCTTAAGAAGAATATTATTTTTATTAATATTATTTCTTTTAATCATCGATTTAACGAGTGATTACACCTTTAGATATTCTTTTGATGTGATATGATTAGAGATTTTTTTATCAAAGGTTGACATTGACCGTTCGATAAGCAATTGGATTTCATATATCAAATCATGATAAGCCTATAATAAATTATATTAATGTTAAAAGCATATGTTTGGGATTTAATGATTTAATTAACTAATATGATATACAAATAATATGGTGGGACCTGACGCGGACAACGGAACAGCCGTGTATCTTCGTGTTGCGATGAAGTCCACGTCGAGTGGATCAGCACCACCCCTTTCTCAGCGTCGGCGTCGTCATCTTGCATGGACAAAGCTCGGCTGTCAGAGATTGGTTGCAGGTTTCCGTCGCCACCACCACAACCGCCCCTCCCAAAAAAAGCAGTTTGGCCTTCCATTAATGAGAGCTCCCTTGCCGTCTCTGCAACAAAGCCTCGGAACTGCAACGGAGCCTTTTCCCAACGCTCATCAATCGTGGCTGGTCGTCGAACTCCATTCAATCACCCGAGAAGAAAGAGAGAACGACAGACCAAATTGGCAACAAAGTCTTGATTCTTGAATCACTTGTGTCTGAATCTGAATTGGAAAAGGAGATTCTGAGTGAGTCAGCCTTGCGTGGGAGTGACATATCCATAGGAAGATGTCCATATGAACAGAGATCAGCAACTGGTCCATGTCAGAATGAAAAGCGTGGGGTGAGATCATTGTCAGTGTCTCCATTCTTCCATCGGAAAGGGTAGTATGTTCAAATCATTAGCTTTGGAATCTCCAATCTTCCAAAGAGAAGAACGACTAACTGAGAGAAAAGCGCGGCGTTCACCAACCTCGTTCACACCAAGAGAGAGGAGATGTAAATGAATTCGCAACTCGAAGTCGGCAAACCCCTCTTCGACTATCCACACTATAATCACGAGGAAGACTTTGCTCCTGTTTTGATCCAACATTAAAAAAAAGGAGGTCCCAAACATGGAAAGTATGCATCATATTCATCTTTGAGCCTCTACTTAAAGCCTCTCCACTCCCCCTTCCTTCATCCCACCTCATTACATCTTTGGCCACCAAACCATCCTCTGTTACTCTCTCTCTCTCCAAGCTCCACAGGATAGCTGCCATGTCTAGGTCAACCACCTTCTTTGTGATAGCTCTTCTCCTCTTCGTCTCCCTCGGCGAAGCAGCTCGGCATGCGCCAGCAGATCCAACAAATACCCAAACGGAGGTATGCTGCAGAAATCATGTCTTCTTTGGTTCATTCTTGTATCTGATACAGTGCGTTTGACGACAGGGTGTAGAAGAGGACAGTTTCGAGAAAATGGATGAGGAGTGTGGAGGGGTTGGCAAGGAGGAGTGCCTGATGAGGAGGACGCTTGCGGCTCACACAGACTACATCTACACCCAAGGGAAGAAGCACTGATAAGAGCAGGAACAGCCCTGCTACCCATGGATTACTTGTTAGCTCTTGCACTACCATTGTTGCAAGGATCTTATGCTGAATCCTACCTCTGTGGCCTTGTCTTGTCCTCTTGGGACTCCTTGGGTTTGTGGTTACATGTATATGAGAAGGAACTGATGAATGTTTTGGAATAAAATGCGTGGAATTTATCCTGCATGATCTCTGTTCACAATCTTCTTCTTCTTCTTCAAATCGATGATATTTGATGGGATGGATGACCTTCAAATGATGTTCTTCGTCTCTTTGGCTCGCTGATCTAAGAGTCAACTCATTAATTTGGAGCTACATCAGATCTCAAGGGAATTCAAACATGGCTCAGAACACAATGGGTTTAGGTCAACAATGAAACTTCGTGCTACTAAAAGCAATAATCTAACCAAGGCTTAATCAGGGACATGGATCACTGTGCAGGTTCCCCTTGGGCTGCAGGTTGACGAAACATCCACCAAGAAGAGCCTATTAAATGACATCTATATTTTCGAGTCAAACAAAGATTCGTTGCTTAAAAAAATGTATTGACTGATGGAGGTTCTCTAGGATGATAAATGTAGGTGAAATGTTGGACAAAGAACTGAGTGCTTAACCTCCACTAGGTCTAAAAAAGATGAATTAAATACCATTCCAGCTCAATGGCCATGGCAGTTCACATCTCCAACATTGACTGATTGGTTGATTTCCCTTCATTACAGCTTATAATTGTGATAAAAGTCAACTCAACTTTATAGAGTGGTTGGCTTTTCACCAAGTGCAGATCCTTCTAACCACAATGCAGTATGGCCATGCAGATGGGAGGATTTCTCTCTTCTTTTCCTCCCTTTCCTCTTTCGTCTATCTTTATCCTCTGCTCCCATGATGAAGGATGCAGAGCCGTGGACGCCAGCCGTCGGTCAATCAGTCACACCCACTGCTGAAAAGGATCCACTTGCATGGTAATGGCTGTGCATCCATATAGTTCGGTCCATCTGCGAACGGAGAGGAGGTAGTGGAGCAGCAGCTAATAGTTGATGCCACCCATGGCTGGGCCACCAAACTAAGTCGCCGTGCCAATGCTTGCAGCCGAATCTTTGTCGAGCACGCACGGCAGCAGTCCATTTTGTCTATGCTTGCTTTGGAAGAAGGCATGCCTGTCGTTGTCTTTGCAGCAGAAGCACAAGCTGGTGTTGCCTTCTCCACCCAAGAACCAACTTTACAGTAACCTAACATGCTTGTCGAGAGGGTTATTCAGATATCTCAGTCTGACTCAACATGATCCATCCATTCTCGTGTCTCTCTGCAACTCTTTGAAATGCCTTGGCAGCACAAATCTTCAACGGAGCACTGAAACCAAATCGACTTTTGATAAAAAAAATATTTTAACAATCAACCCTCGTCGGTCAACTAATCATCCCAGAGGCGCTAACAAGAAAGAAAAGGATCGAATCATTCTCTTCTAGGCAATAACGTAGGGGTGGTTATGGTTTGTCGACTCCCGTGAACAACAGTCAACGGGAGGTCATTTTGGCTAATCTTGTCGATCTCCACGAACAACAGTCTAACGAAGATCATTCTAGTTTATGTCAAAACGCTGAGGGAGAGATATCGAGACTGTTACAAAAGATTATTTGAGTCAGTCAAGTATAAAAGTTAACCTTTGACGTCAGCCTAAGGGTCAAACTTTTTTCCAAAAACTTCTTATATTCCATATAATCTCCAAACTAACTTAAGCGTCAGATATGTCAGATATGTCAGATTTCACCTTGAGCCGATCTAAGACTACCTTAGATTGGTCGAGAGTTTGATTCAATTTAGAGACCAAAATCGAACGGTATGATTCAGTCTCAATTTGACCCGAACCGTGTTCACCCTTACACTAATACTGGGCCGACAGCCACCTTGTGCTGGGTGGGCCTCTCTCTCTCTCTCTCTCTGGGACAGGAGGAGAGTATATGGACAACACAGGAGTTCTCATGTTTGTCAATCAAATTTTCTTTTATATTAATTATTAATTCTTCCCATCTATATAAAATATAGTTTAGTAATATTTAAAACACAATAGAAATATTAATAGTGTTTTGCGTATGAGTCAAAATCGAATCGAAGTCTCCGCGTCGATCCGATCTAATATTTCCAAAATTATACTCCGGTCAATTCCATCATCGACCAACGACCATGTCATCCTACGTGGGATTTTATGGCTGGCCCGAAACGTGAGGCCCACCAAAGAGAGTGTTTTGGGGATTGCCACTTGTTGTTCTTTTCATTCCCGAGCAGAAACGCCTGTTCTCGTACACTCACGAATAGTATACCCGAGTGATACCGTCCGTTGATCGTGTTGATTCGACAGCCAGGCGGTTGAAGGTTTGCCACGATCGACGCCGAGCGCTGTTCGCACGGTGGCGTGGTGGACTTGCCTCGTCAAATAGCACGTGTCCGAGGGTGTCGCCAGCGAGCAGCCGCGATCGCGCGAGCCGCGGGATCCACTCGCCGCGCCGGTTCGACACGTGACGCTTGAGGCCTGCAGACGTGGGCGGATGCCGCCAGAGTCCCCTCCTTTCTTAGCTTTCCCTCCTCATCTCTTCCTGTCTTCCTCCTCCCTCTCTCTCTTCATCTCCCTTTCCTCCTCCTCCTCCTCTTTCGCTCCACCGCCTACTCTTTCCATCGATCTACATGTGTTGATAGAATATACATAAAAGCTTTCGAGTGGAATTCTTCGAGGGAAGTAAGAGCTTGTTCTGAGTTGGTCTCCTCGTCGGTTTTCGTCCCTGTTCTGTTTCCTCCTCTGTTTTCCCAAACTCTGGCGCCTCGATCCGCCCGGCGAAGAAGGGAAGGTACGATTCGCCGACTCACTTCTCGCCGTCTTTTCCTTCCTCAATCTTCGTCTCTTTTATGGATAGGTAATCTGGTTAGTGCGGGGTGGTTGTGAAGCCACTTCATCGCGAGCCATGGAAGGCAGAGGAAGCGAGCCGTATTTCGACCCGGACTACGATTCCCTCGTCGAGAGGATCAACCCCCGGTATTGTTCCCTTGTTCTTCTCCTCTTCCTCCTCCTCGTCTTGTCTGGTTGTAATTCTTCAGCAAAATTTCTGTTTTTCGACTAAATTTGTGATCGTCGCAGCGTTTGCATCGACAACGAGACATGTGAGGATTGCACGCTCGTCAAGGTCCCTGCATCGCCCTTCTCTCACTTTCCTGCCATCGATGTCGAGTAGATAAGAGAGAAAAATGAGTGCAATAACATGAGATTGTAGTGGTGATCCAACCAAAAACCATTTTGACGCCAGAACCGCCGTTGTTGCGGTGGGCGGTGCGAAGCCGCAGGGCAAGATTGGGGGCCGCGTGAGCCGGCCCCAAACGGAAAGGAGCGGCTACAATTTGTTTGCTTGCTTTCGCTGGCTGACAACGACGATGACGATGGCTGCTTTGCGTCGCAGGTGGATAGCGCCAACAGGCACGGGATCCTTCTGGAGATGGTTCAGCTCCTCACCGACCTCGACCTCGTCATCTCCAAGTCCTACATCTCGTCCGACGGTGGCTGGCTCATGGATGGTTTGTTCCCTTCCCATATCCATTTCTAGGAGAGGAGGAGAAATGAATTGAACAGACGATAACTAAGCACACGCCTTACGTGGCAGTGTTTCACGTCGCGGACCAGCTCGGTAACAAACTAACGGATCCCACCACCCTTCGCTACATCCAACAGGTAAGCAAAACTGCCTCCTCCTTTTCTTCGACTCCTCTGTCTCTTGATATCCTTTGCTTTGGTGATGGAAGCAGTCGCTGGTGAGCGGATGGAAGGGAACCCGGAGCACGGTCGAGGTTAGGACCTGCCTCGGGAAGCTGTTGGGCCCGGGGCAGCTGGCCTCCGGGTACCCCGCCATCGAGATCACGGCCACGGACCGGCCTGGCCTCCTCTCCGAGATCGCCGCCGTCCTCGCCGAGCTCCACTGTCATGTGGCCTGCGCCCAGGCCTGGACGCATAACTCACGCGCCGCCGTCATCCTCTACGTCACCGACGAACCCGCGCGTACGCCCATCGCCGACGCCGACTGGCTGGCCCATATCGAGCAGCAGGTCGACAGTGTGGTCGAAGCGCACCATGGGCCCGGCGAGCGGCGGCGGGTGAAGGTGTCGGGGCCGACGCCCGGCCGCGTGCACACGGAGAGGCGGCTGCACCAGCTGATGTACGAGGACGGGGACTACGAGGCCGGCCCCCCGCCGCCTCCTGTGAACGGCGACCACTTCGCGGACGCCAACCTCGAGGCCAGGAGGGGCAACGTACTGTTCTTGTCATCTCCGTCGTCGTCGTCGTCTTCGTCGGCGTCATCGGCGGTGATAAAGACACGGGCATCCATCGACAGCTGGAAGAAGCGGGGGTACTCGGTGGTCAACATACAGAGCAGGGACCGCCCTAAGCTCCTCTTCGACACGGTGTGCACGTTGACCGACATGCAGTACGTGGTGTTCCACGCCGCCGTCGGGTCGCACGGACCACTCGCCGTGCAGGTCGGGCTCCTCCGTCGTCCACTGCTTGTGTGTTGCTATACGTGGTGTTATCTTCCTCATGGCGTCCTTTGACTCCTCGTTGCAGGAATACTACATCCGACACATGGACGGTTGCACTCTGGATTCGGAGAGGGACAGGCAGAAGGTCAGCCGGTGCTTGGTGGCCGCCGTGGAGCGGAGAGTCTCCCATGTGAGCTCGATTCTCTTCGTCTGCAAATGCAAACGTTCCTGTCCCCAACAATTGACAAATCCAATGATTGCAGGGGCTGAGGCTTGACGTGAGCGCAAGGGACCGGCCGGGCCTGCTGTCGGACGTCACCAGGGTGCTCAGGGAGAATAGCCTATCGTTGACGAGGGCGGAATGCGCGGCGCGCGGGGAGAGGGCGGTGGGAACGTTCTACGTGACGGACGCTTCGGGCGGCGGCGACGTGGATCCGAAGAGGGTGAACGCGGTGAGGCAGGAGATGGGGGACAGCGTCACGGTGGAGGTGAGCAACGACGCCACGCGAGAATGGAGCTCCGCCAAAAGCAGCAACAATGGCAGCAGCAGCAGCAGACTGACGTCGTCGTCGGCTGGTGGCACTAGAAGCAGAAGCATGACCTCCCTCGGAAGCTCTCTCGGAAGCCTCCTGTGGGCTCACATCGAGCGGCTCTCGAGCAACTTCGGATCCATCAGATCATGAATATTACGATTTCTATTCCCGGAAGAAGCAGCAGCCGCAGATATGGCATCTTTCTTCACACTTTGCGAGAATATAGAAATGTGTATTACTAATCTTCGTCAGACCAAATTAAATAAATAGTAGTTTAAAATCGGGAAGGAACATATTAAGATGCCATTTGGATTCTTTCATAGTCACTTACAAGTTCACTTTCACTAACAATATATTATAATGTCGACTGCATTGCAAGAATGGCTCCTTACATGGAGCCAAAGCGAGCAGTGCAGGACAGTGTCACGGGCCACACGGTCGAATGGAGATGCAAATCCTGCTGTTCTCGCATCCTCATGCCATTTGGTCGCCTCCTTCCTTGTACTACCAACACACAGGCTCCAACTGCACAAGCTTTCAATGGCCTGCAGGGCCTGAAGGTCCACCGAGGCCACACGAATCAGCTTCTTCCTGCGGAATGTGATGGAATATGCCGTCTCAAGCCAGCCCACGCCTCTCAATCCCCAGTCATGGCTTTTTGGTCTCGTCAGCGGATACCTTGAAAGCAGAGGAAATGGCATATATGTCCGTGACTGCGTTGGCCAATGGCCATCAAGACCACTCTGGGCTTTCCATTCGGTAAACAACAAGCAGTGGATCAAAATCCGTGCCGGTTTCGCTCTTCGCCGGTAATCATCCGCATTCAGACGCTTCTTCATTTACGATTGATGAGGATTGCAAGTATCATCAATACTATACACCAGAGACGAGATTGTATCTCAATCTCAACTCGCAATGCAAGCTGCACAGAATCTTCAGCCGTGTACTCTGTCACTGGATCGTCCTGGTTAACTTACACTTTGAAATGAATAGGGTGGTCGTGTAATTGAGACTGCAGAGCTTCAACAGCTCGGCAGCCCGTTGCTTCAGCTCCGGATTGCAACCGCTCTGGATGACAAGCAATAGATTTGCAGGCAACCCCGCCTCCACCGCAAGCGAAGCACATTCGTCGGGAGCAAGCTTACAGACAGCCCACAATATAGACAATGCGTACTGAACACCAGCTTCGGATGCTCTCATTAGAAGCCTCACTGTGTTGGGAATGGTTTGAGGGCAATCTTTCAGAGCCGACAGGCCTTCAGGTATCGTCGAGAGATCATCCAAGATGTGCAATGCTGGTACCGAGCCCTCGGGACTCAGGTTCCGCAGTAGCTCCACGAGCTGCGTCACTGCTCCAACGCTCACCAGCGAGCTCCGGACTTGCTCGTGAGAGCAGATCGCTTCCAGCAAGCTAAGCGCCGCCGCAATGCCGTTCGGGTGTCGCTTGTCCTTCGCCAATCTCAACAGCGCTACCAGAAGACTCAAACTCAACATGAACTCGCACCGGAAACTCTTCTCCGCCATCAGCATCTCGATGTACCTCGTGCAATTGATCTTAGTGTCGATGGTGCCTTCATTCAGCATGTCTACTACGAGTGAGATTCTTGCCGGTTGCATCAGACTTGCCTTTGTATCTGAATCCAAGCTAAGATTGACGAGGATGGCGATCACCTCGGAGCCAACGGCGTGGGAGGTGAACGGGCCGAGGAGAGAAGAAAGCAGTGCCACGCCACCGGAGTCAGCCAGGGCGTTCCCGAGGGATGGATGGGCCACGACCATCTTCTGAAGCTCCTTGAGGGCCTCGACTCTGGCCTGCCCCTTGACCTTCTTCAGGCTCTGGACGAGCTCGGCGGCGCGGCCCTGGACGTCCTCGGACCGCTTCTTCACTAGGAGGTAACGCTGCGAGAACCAGGCGCTGATCAGCTGGTGGAGGGTTCGGTTGGGGGTGACGGCGTCGTCCCACAGCTCCTGCATTGTGGTGGGGCAGGTGAGGTGCCCCAGGGATAACCACTTGAGGATGTTGCCGCGCTCGTAGGTCTGGCCGGTGCAGAGCGTGACGGGATCCACCATGGGCTCGAGGGAGATGGGGCAGATGAACACCGAGGGCACATCCTCCGCCGCCGAGTCGAGCTCCTCGATCGTCTTCTTGAGATCAAGCTTCTCAGCGGCGGCCCCCAAGGTCCCGTCCTTCCCCGACGGGAGGCCTCCGCCGCCCAAGATCCCGTCTTTGACGGCGGTCTCCAGATCTATGACCTGCCCACCGCCCTCCAGCCTCCATGAAGCGTGCTGCTGGAACTGTGGCATCGTTCGGAGCCTCAAAGAACCCAACTTTAGATCCCAAGATTCGATCTTTAAGCGAGAAAAAGAGAGGAAACAGGGGGAAGAGGAGGTTAGAGTCGGACGCGGGATGAGAGCATAGGACCGGAGTTGAGAGCTTCTGCTTCAGGCGGATTTGGGCGCTGTCCTCTGGAGGAGGCTTCGGTGGCGCCGGTCAAAAGGAAGCAACCCATCATCATAACCAGCATAATGGAGTTATGATCGATCTCCGCCCCTGCTCTGAAACCCGAAGGCTCCCCCGTCCTGTCTCTCTCTCTCTCTCTCTCTCTCTCTCTCTCTCTCTCTCTCACTCACACACACACACACACACACGCTGCCATCACCAGAGCTTAGAAAAAGGCTAAATCATACGCGAGCAAAGGCCCAGATCAGGGGGTAAAATGGGGAGATCAAAAAAGAGCAACCGGAGGAGATCTGCGCGAAACCTCACCCGCTCTTCTCCTCTCGAGGAGTGAGACAGCGCCGGTGGCCGCTGCAACGTGTCCACCCGATCACCGCACGTGCAGTCGCGTCATCGATCGTCACCGTATTCGCTCGAACGATTCTTCGAAATGTCAATTTTACCCTTAAAAACCTGAGGAATTAATAGATTGCCACTGTGTGACTGACAGTATCAAGTGAATTATCTAAAATTATGTTAATAGAATTAATAGAAATCATTTTATATAATACATAACATCTTCAAGTTGAACTTTGGACTAAAAGTAGTGCACAGAGGACGGTCACTATTATTATTGCCACATCTTCTTCTTCTTCGCGACAGAGGGATTAAAGAAGAAGACTTCGGTGTTTAGTGGCTGTGTCTACTGTTTCAGAAGTTCTGAGCTGAGCATCTGCCATTTACTTTTGACTGTACTTTGTTGCGTTGCATCTGCGCTCCGGCAGCCAGTGGCAGGTCGACACATCACCGTCGGAGCTCTGCCACCTTCGGCCGTGGCAGAGACTATAAAGTCTCGGTCGACCAACCCTCGACAAGCTTGCCTTGATTCTGCACACGTTTCAAAGCACCAGCAGTTCCTATGGAGAGCGTCTCGTGAGCTCGGACGAGTCCCGCAGTACCCGTGTCACGTGTTTGTGTCAGACTTGGGAAGCCAGAGAGGTGGAGGAGGAGGAGGAGGCGGAGGAGGCGGAGGGCATTGACCATGACCTCAGTCTCCGCAGAGGAGAAGAGGGTGGCACTGCTTTCCATGGATCTCGCACATGGAGATCAGATTGCATTGTTTCCCACACACCCGCCCACAGGTGACGACGAAAGAAGAAGACAAGAAGAGACTTAATGTAACTCTCAACATGCCATGCTCGCTATAGCTAATGGAAGAAGGTCAATCCATGGCCTTCACTGGCATCACCGGCGGCAGCTGCACCATGAACAAAGGTGAGCGGCGAAAAGGGCCCTTTCCGCGTCTACGCTTATATTATACTTCTAATTTATATATATTATGCTAATTCTACGAATTAAATAACAGTCGTCAACTAATTGATTAAATTTATTTATTTATTATTTATTCGGATACTATAAATTTCTTTAGGAGCATCGCAGCCGTTGGTCGAGGGGATGGGACAAGCCCGGCGAGGTAATAAGTCCTTTCCGCCGCTTCGCGTCGGAAAAGAGAGGGAGAGCGGCAGCGCCGGCCTCAAGTAGAAGTTCCTCGGCGACAGAACGCGGACGCCTCACCGTCGATGATCTTTTGCTGTGTTTTCCCCTTTTCGTGGATTTTTAGATCGGCAGTTCATTACGAGGGTCGATTGCTGGGCGGAAGCAAGTTCGATTCAAGTCGGGACCCAGGGAAACCTCCGGCTTTCAGTGCTGCCAGTGGTAGGATCGCAGTCCCGTGTCTTCTTTTCAAGGCTCGTCGACCTTTGGGGTTTCTTTGTTCGTCTTTTCGTGGATTCTTGTCATGAGATGATTCTTTAGCTGTTTTCTGGGTTTCCGGACCGTCAATTCGTTTGGAGTTTCTGGGTTTCCTTTAGGGTTTCTTGATTCTGCCTTTTAGGAAATGGCTTTCGGGTTGTACGCAATGTTCGTGTTTTTGCTCAGCTCGCGTCAAACACAATGTCAACAAGTGTGTTGGTATATAATAAGCTGTCTCATTCTCAGAAATGACAACTAAGACGATGATTTCTCGTTTGGTTTCAAATCAATGATCGAGTACAAACACAGGTCCATAAAAGAATGCAGTAAAGTTCAAAGAATTATGGGAATCGATTGACGGGATATAAACGGAAATAATTTTTATATATGAACAAATATTAGCAGCGAAATTAAATTAAATCATAATCAAATAGAACATCAAGATATACGTGAAAAATCTAAAGGGTAAAAATCACGGGACAAACTAGAGAAAATCCACTATGAATATATAAATCTCAATCTCTTGTCCTAAACCCTAGCAACAATCACAAGAGAACAACTGGGATACAAGGATCACGTCATTGTCCACGATATCTAAAACCTCTCCAAGTAATCACAGCAAGAGTCTATTGTAGATTTGATCTAACTTGAGATGAGAGCATTGCTAGATGATTGAGAACAACCTCTCTACGGATCACGTCACTGTCCACGATATCTAAAACCTCCCCAAGTAATCACAGCAAGAATCTACTGTAGATTTGATCTAACCTGAGATGAGAACACTACTAGATGATTGAGAACAACCTCTCTGCATTGTCCTTGTCTTCTTTCTTTTCTTTCTCTTCTTTTTCTGCCTTGTTTTCCTCATTTTCTTTGGAATCCCGTGGCTGTTTTTTTCTCCCACGTTGCTGTCCTATTTATGCATTTTTCTACCTCTAATACGCAGCCACCACACCCCCTAATGTTAATTAGAGTTATGTTAAGAGGGATGAGTGGACTATCCAAGCCTATTATGTGTTGAATTTGTGGACTATCAGTCCAACATGGATAACTGAACATTAAGTTGAAGGAAATTTATCTCAATTAGAGGAAAAAGTTTTCAGTATTGCAAATCTATTCTCCTGGAAGTAATGTTAATTAGTGAAATTTATTGTTCTTCTGCTTACATCATCAACATTGATTTGCCTTGAATCAAGAAATGAGAATTGACACTCTTTACACTGCCATGTTCCTTCAGGACTGCTGTTCAAGGCATTTCTGATGCTGCTCTGAACTTTGAGGTGGAACTGATACCATGGCTGACAGTAATGGACATTTGCAAGGATTGTGGAATAGTTAAAGAAAGTTTTATCTAGCTTTCTAAAAGTCTGTTGGTTTGCCATTAAATAATATATGTATTTTTCCAATATTCTAACTGGTTCATTTTCCAAAGTGTACAGTCAAGCATTGTCTCATCTGACACTCTTAACTTGATGGCACCACTGCTGCAGAGACTCCTAAATGATGGTTCTGTGTTTTGCATCAAACAGAGTATTTATTTACAAGTAGAAAATTAATTTTTGTTCATGATGTTTTATTTTAAGACCAAATCTAACAAGTTGCACATCATCCAGGGCAATTTGTATCCAGCATTTACAAAGATTGTCAAAGCCATGAGAACAGGGGAGAAGGCTTCTGTCACCATTCGGCCACAATGTATGGTCAACCACCGAAGGTAGCCTGTGATGTTTTGGAGCTTTGGATATATGTATTGTCAATTTTCATAGCTACTACTAGTATACTTTTTTCTCACCTTACACCTCCATTAGCTTTTTCTTCCTAGATTGTTCCTGTTTGTGATCGAGAAGAAAATTGTGGATTGTGGATCCTATTAAATTATTGTGACAAAACCAAACCTGATGATCTGATTCACAAACTCAACTCTGATAAATATGGCCTATTTGGACAATGTACCAATGTGTTTTTGGGGCATTAGCACATCAGTGGATTTGATTTATTTATTTATTTGTAATATGATTAAATACAGTAGTTAACCTCTCCTTACATAACATAAAGTTTAAATATAATTGACACTTTTTTCATTATTTAATTTTTGAACTTGAGCTGAGTATTAGTTGTTCTAAGTCAGAGTTGTCAAAAAGGTGCTTTTGATTTAAAAATTATGTATCATGATTAATAAAATAAATTAAAACTAAAATAACTCATCAAAAGTTGTATTTATTTAAAGTGTAAAATTATATTGTTCATATCTGATAACAAAAATAATAAAATAAAATAAAATAAAATAAATATAAAAAATCATTAAAATCTAGTCCATCATCTTCAATCTTGTCAGAATATCCTTTTCTTCCCCATAATAAATTTTGTTATCTTTCATAATTATGGGTAATGAGCTTAAAGCTTTTGTATTTGTTCTCGTGTATATGTTTATTTCTTCGATGTCTAAAGTTTTTACTTATATTTTTCTGTGTCAAATAATCATCATAAAAAGTAAGATTATATCTCGTATTTTTTAAAATTTATATTTGTTTCTCTGATTAGTCATTCATTTATTTAAATCATCCAATGAAATCGGGTCAATATTGTCTTGTAAATTATAAAAGAGCATTTAGTATTTGATTATACTTGATGTGCAGAAGGTCATGTAATAGTTGATATCCTAATCGATTTTTTTCTTTATATGTGAAGATCTATTTAGTTACATTAATATCTAAAAAAATAAATTAGCTAAAATTAAAATATTCTTGGATATTTATATTCTTGAAAACATTCTAATTTCACTCATAACTTACGATGGTAAGTTAAACTTAGAATTTTTATAACTAATGTATTACTTCCAAAAAAATCTCCACCACTCATTTATAAATTTGAGTTCAATTATTAATAATAATATACCTTAAGAACTTACATATATTAATTATATAAAATTACAAATACATAGGGACTTAGTAGGCAATACACTCGTATAGTCGAGATATAGCTTCTATATCAAATCAGTTGAGGATTCTTATAAAAGAATTTGAAGTTTAAATAGTATTCTATTATATGTGATAGATGATGAAGTTAACAGTCCATCCTCTATTAATGATTGAGGAGATATATTTATATATATTTTTATTTTTATTAAAAGATTTTTGAATTATTTCTTGGGCTCTATCTATAATCTTATAGATATATCTCGTTGCTTTTTCTCGTTATCTATGAATAGAAGAATTCTAACAAAAAAGCTCATTACTTTTAGTGTATAAATCATATGATTTCAAAATAATGACATTAAGATGATATCACTTGCTCGCTTATCATTTGCATTCTTTGTTCATTTACTTGTAACACGTTTCTCTAACGTAAATATATTTATAAGATTGTGTGTTTGCTTATGAATATTTTGTAATGTCAATAAAGTGATAAATCATATGATACAATATCTCACTAGTTCTTTGTTATCGATGAATCATTTCATCATGTTTAAAATACTGATTATATATAAAACCTATATCAAAGATTGTCTTCTCTAATATCTTCTTGATATCTCTAATATTTTTAATATTCTCAAACAAAAGATTACTATAATGTACGTATGGAGTCCTGGGATATTTTTACTTATAATAAAATTATACTGGCTGAACATAATTGTTTTTCATTATTTATTATCACATGAACTATATTTTGCTGTTCAATTTTCTTAACAAACTTATCAAATAATTCAAATTATTTTTTCGATCTAGAATTCATACTGGATGCATCAATTGACTTAATAAACATTGTTCATAATAAATAATTGACCAAAAAACATATAATTGGTACATTTCAAAATTTATATTTTTAACTCGATGTGAGTAATAGCTAGTCTAAGTGCCTAATCAAGAAAATTATGGATATATATATATATATATATATTAATTATTGTGGGTGAACTATGATTTTTTTAATCATTTTGAAAACTAATTCGTAATTTTAAATTATTGTTTATTATTTAAAAAATATAGAATTTTATATTTTTAAATTTTTTTATTAAAAAATAAAAAAAAATAATGATTCGAACCTAAACAGAAACTAAAATCATCGATTCTGATATCGATTCCTAAATCAATTCTTACAAATTCAATCCAGTTTACAGTTTTGGAGAATCAAAATCGATCATTTCTAAATCAAAATAAGAAGCATATATATGAGGGCTGTGTGTGGAACCCAAGTGGAGCACAGGGACAGAGGAAGAGGTGACATGAGTGACGAGGAGAATGGAGACGTGTAAGTCTCTCTCACTCCCTCTTCACGATAAGTTCAAATTCAACGGTATTTTAATAGCATGTGTTTCGTCTGCAACACCCTTTTCTTTTGTTTTTGTTTTTGTTTTTGTTGGTTGCGAAAGCAGTTGCCGAGCACAGAATAGATTTCGTTCCGACGCTGATGGAATAAAAAAATTTGCATACAAACAAATACGAGGAGTTGTAACACGTAGCGAAAAAATTAAACGGAAATCATAATCGCATAGAACATTAAGATTTATGTAAAAAATCTTTCCAACATGAATTAAAAAATCATGAAATAAATCAGAGAAATAGATTTACTATAAAATAATAAACATATAAATCTCAAAATCTCTTACTTAAAAAATCCGCTCAATAATCATAAGAAAATAGATCTTCTTGTTTTGTTTCTATGCTCTCAACTATCAAATTTCTCTTTTTCTTAGTCATGGCCATAGCCACTGCTACCCCTTTTTTCTGCCTTAGTCGCTACAAATATAGGTTAAAAAAAAAAGGATTTAAGTTAAAAGATAAAAGGGATTTAATGATTGATGTGGGTTATCCCATGATTCCTTAATGTGAAGTCATGTCGATCAGTTGTTTGGCATATCTCTTACCTTTCTTTTGACAAGGTCTTTGTTAATATGTTTGTTCGGTTATCATCTGTGTGAATTTTCTAAAGTTGCAATTACTTTTATTCAAATACATTTCAAATCTAATTGTATTAGACGTCTATATTCTTTGATTTTGAATAAAAAATTAAGTTCTTACACAAATGGATGATGCTCTAGTTGTCACAATGCATTACATAATTTTTCTATTTCAACCTCAGTTCTTATAAGAATTCTTTCATCTATAATATTTTTTTACAAACCTCTGTAGCAATAATATATTCCAGAGATCGTATATCTTAGAGATCTACCACTATCGAATAAACTCGATCATTTTTTGATCTAACTTCTTCTACTCATCATTTTTCATAGTTATTAGTTTTGCACTATCCCCTTATAAAGGTCTATACAAATATTTGTAATAAAAAATTTTTTCTATTCTTGGTTTATATATCATCTAATTATTTTTATTCAAACTAACCATATGAGAAACACTATCGATCTCCATGTTCGGACATAAAAAATTAAATATTACCAAAATCCACGATGATACTTGTTAGGGTAAACACTTTTAAGCCGTGGCCTCGGGGCCGACGTGGCTCAGTTCGAGACTAAATGACGGGGAATCGCCCAGACTTCTCCTGGGAGCTCTTCGCCTGTGCGCCCGGTGTGAAGCGCCTCGTCTTCGTTCCTGCACACGGGTCGGGTCGGAAGCTCGGCCCGACCTCTCCGACGATCGAGTTAGTGATGTGGAGTGAAATGATTTTTTCCGTCCCCCTTTTGCTTAGAACACGGGGGTATTTATACGGGAGCTTAGCGTTACCTGGAGCGCCTGTCCATAGGGAGCAGGATCGTACATCTAATGTCGTCTGTCATTGCGGTTGGCGTGTCGTGAGGAGGCGAGCCTGAGCGGTCGTTAATGGGCCTCGGTTGGCGTTTTGGCCCATGCTGGCCAGGCTGTTAGAGGCGCGGGGCGTCAGCTGATGTTACGGGAGTCTTATCGTAATTACCACCCCTATCAATACTAAGATTTACATGAAAAATCCCTTTAACGCGAAGGGAAAAAACCATGAGACAAGCAAAAAAATAGATTTATCATAAAAAATATATAAATCTTAGGATCTCTCACCAAACACTTATTCAATAATCATAAGAGAATAATAGGAATATAAGGATTAAGATCCAGCTGAATTAATTGGCCACCATGGCTGAATTAAGGACCACCCTCCCCTCTTCACGATAAGTTCAAATTCGACCCCCTTATCGGTTTTTTTAATAGCGCGTGTTCCATCTGCAACCACATTTTCGTGTTTTTTTTTGTTGGTTGCGAAAGCTGGTGTGGAGCTGGCAACTCATATATCGATGCGACGCAACCCTAAATCAAGCTTCTCACTTCAGCTGCAACTATCTCTGTTTGATCGCCTCAGCGCTCGCATGTAGAGATCCTCTTCTTCCTCCTCAGCTGTTTCCCATCGCCATTACTTCTTCTCTCGATATGACCAATGCTTCGTCGTCGCTTCTTCCTTCCTTCGTCCTCTTCCTCGTCCTCCTCTTCGCTCGGTCTTCTCCCGCTCTCTCTGCGTCCGCCGTCGCCCGCCTCCCCGGCTACCCGGGGCCCCTCCCCTTCTATATGGAGACAGGGTTGGTGTCTCTACTCGAACAGAGTTACTCGCTTTAGGCACAGCTGCATCACGGTCGCTTATCGTTTGTTTGCTTGCTGTGCAGGTATGTGACGGTGGACGAGGTCAACGGCGCCGAGCTATTCTACTACTTCACAGCGTCGGAGGGTGACCCCAGCCAGGATCCTCTCCTGCTCTGGCTCACCGGCGGCGATCGCTGCTCTGTCTTCAGCGGCTTGGCCTTCGAACTAGGTGAGTCCTGACTCCTTCAGCATCCAATCGATTAACGTTGTATCTTCTTCCTCCAATTCTTTGCTCTGCTTTTGTCGGCAGGTCCCGTGAAGTTTGTGATTTCTGAGTACAATGGAAGCATACCAACTCTCACTTATAACCCTTATTCTTGGACTAAGGTTAGAAGCTCTGCACCGGCTTCTTTTTATATTTTGATTCTTATATTTAGAATTATTTTTGTTAGTATTCTTATTCTGAGATTTAAAAAAATTATATTGAAATCCTTATAGTTATGAAAGTGAAAAACGTAAGTTAATTTACTCTAACGTTATTATTTTACTAATACAAACACAAAAATAATAGTTAAAAAGATAATTTCAACATTTCAATTGGTGGTAGCGGATGGTGATATCATTGGGGGTCACGGGTGACTGCTATAGACGAGGAGAATGAAGACGAAAGATGAGGGTCGCTCTGTAATTGCATGATGCTGACACAAATTTAGAGCGATGAATGGGCCACTCACTGCGTCGATGTCGATGTAATTACCGAGTGGAGAAAGAACCACTTGGCATCTACATTAGTACCAACACAAATGTAGAGCAATGTCGCTCTATGTTTGCGTCGGCAGCGACTACACAGTTGTCAAGAGGTACCACTCTGCATCTGTGTCACTGCTTTACATCTACGTCGGCATCGATACAAATATCGAGCAGCCCTTTCGTCGCTCGACAACTATGTCGACGTCGATGCAAATGCAAAGCAGCCTCACCTCTCGTCGTTGCTCTTCTCATCCACAATAGCCACCTGCGACCTCCAACGACGCCATCCACCATCACCAACTTGAACGTTGAAATTAATTTTTTCACTTAATTTTTTTTGTTTGCATTGGTAAAACCGACGACGTTAGGATAAATAGAGTTAAATATTTCACTTTCATAGAGATTTTAATATAAATTTATTAAATCTAGGGACTGAAATACTAAAAAGATCTAATTGACTACTAAGAGAGTAATATATAATTAGTCCCTCTCTTAACCTCTTCTCTCTGGTTAACCATATGTGAGTCGTAGGTCTCTAGCATTATCTTTGTAGATTCTCCTGTTGGTGCTGGGTTCTCATTTTCAAGGGATGATGAAGGTTATGATATCGATGACACAGCTGCTTCCATGCAAGTACACAAGTTTCTCGTGAAGGTAGGCGTACATGTCTTTGAACGTGCATCAGATTAAAAGCAGAAGATGGTAATCCTATCCTGTTTCTTTCTCTGCTCCTGTAGTGGTTTATCGATCACCCACAATATCTTCCAAATCCACTGTACATCGCTGGTGATTCATATGCTGGCATATATGTGCCCTTGGTAGCTCAAGCCATATCACAAGGTAATTAAGTTTGGATAGTATTCTGCTCATGCACTACTAACTCTTTGGCAACACAGATAATGAAGCTGGGCTACAGCCGCACCTTAATCTCAAGGTAATTATTATTTTTCCTAATAGAAACCTGTTTTATTGATCGATAAAATATCAATTTTACATTTTAATTTCTTTGAACCAGTAACATTCCAGACTCATTTTTGGTTTCCATTGATGAATTGTGTGGGCTGATTGGCTCAGGGTTACATACTTGGCAACCCTGCAACAGGCGAAAAGATCGACCGTAACTCTCGGATCCCATATGCTCATGGAATGGGGATCATATCAGATGAAATGTTTGAAGTAATTACTCTCGCAGTAGCACCCTCAGTTTAGCTATGTATTTGTCATAGCTTCACACATACTTTCTCTTTTCCAGTCGACGCAGAGAAATTGTGATGGACAAGATTATCGTTATCCTACTACTACTCTATGTTCTAAATCTCTCGATGCTGTTGAGAAGGTGAGAGAAGGTCGTTCATTATCCTACTACATATCTACCAAAGAAAGTTTAGATATAATGTGCATCGAATGCAGTTCTTCTCGGAGATTATGAAGCCTTACATTCTGGACCCTAAGTGTGCCTTCGTATCTCCGAAGCCAGAGGCCACGGTTGCAGATAGAAGAACAATGGAGGAGTCGGACATAAAGCTCCTTAAGCCACCACCTCTGCCACCTCTCTATTGCAGAGTAAGTTGATCCATCTTTACAAGTGTTTGCGACCTGCTCTACAGATTTCACCATGCGGTCGGACATCTCGTCTTATGCAAACATCGTGCATACAGGGAATAATTCAAACTAGGATTTTTGATATTCTATGTTTTATTGATTTGATGACTTTGTTTACTGCAGACTTATGCTTATGTTCTATCCTATTACTGGGCAAATAACCAAGTCACTAGGGAGGCTCTTCACATAAAGAAGGTAATCATTTTCCTTACTGAGTAATGGCCTTTGAAATGTAATTCTTCATTGCCAAGGTCAAAAGAGATTTTTGTCTAATTATAAGTACAGATTGATACACAATCTATAAAGGTTAGGCTAAATAAAACCGATATAAAACGGGCTATCGATAGATATATTTGAAAAAGCTAAACAGTATATTGTTGGGTCCATTTGAGTCCAAATCTAATTTATTAAAAAAAAATTAAAAACATAGAGAGAGAGAGAGAGAGAGAGAGAGAGAGAGAGAGAGAGAGAGAGAGAAAGTTAGGTTTTGAGGTTTTTGTTAGATGATCAAGTGGCTAAACTTCATCAATTTTGACCCAAATTTTATGTGAAGAATTTTTGTAACAAGCTCTACAATCTTAACGGTGCTGATCTACAGTTTATTCTCTTTGAGATGTTTTTCTGCTATACCTACTGTGTGAGATCTAAAATTTTTCTTTAATGAAATCTATGTATGAAAATAATGATAATATGTTATTGTTGAGCCAACATCAACATTCTTGATGTTATTATGATCCTTTAGTTATTTTGGAGAAAACTTATTATAAACCTATTATCATTATTGGTGATAGTGGATTACGGTCTCGTAGTTTTTTCGTATTGAGTTTTTCACGTAAAAATTCGGTTTCTTATTTTGTGATTGATTCATTGTTTTACTGTTTATACTGCTCTGATTAATATTTATTTTTGATAACAAGTTGGTATTTTGATGAAAAACTCATTTTGATACACAAAGAGAGAAAAAATTATTCCGCTATAATAGTTTTTCTAAACATAAATTATCATTAAATATCCACCTAAATTATTGTTAACAAGTTGATTTTGTTATGTACCCCTTACTAATCCTCACAAAAACGGTTGAGTGCAGGGAACAAAGGAAGAGTGGAGGAGGTGCAACGAGGACTTACCCTTCAGAAAAGAGGTCAAAAGCACCATAAAGTATCATGCAAACCTCACTAGAAGAGGTTACCGTGCTTTAGTATACAGGTGAATCCTCGGGCATAAGTTCTTGTCATCTTCGTCTCCTAGAAATCATGCTGAACATCGGTATCATGGCGTCCTCATGCAGCGGAGACCATGACCTGGTCGTACCATTTCTTGGAACGATGGCATGGATAAAATCTCTGAACTACTCCATTGTGGATGACTGGAGATCATGGCATGTCGACGGTCAAGTTGCTGGGTGAGATTGGATGTCATATTTTCCTGCACACTCTCTATTGATCTGATGACGATCGTCTTTTGTTTCCTCAGATACACAATGACATACGTCAACAATCTGACATTTGCAACTGTTAAGGTTGAGATCTTGCAGAGTATCTTTAGAACTCAATTTGCACTGAAAAATGAAATGTAAATAGCTCATAAGAACTGCCTGTTTGTACAGAATGGTGGCCACACAACTCCAGAGTACCGGCCGAAGGAATGTCTTGCCATGATTCGGAGGTGGATCTCTTACCAGCCTCTGTGATATGCTCGAATTGGATTCTGGCTCACATTTGAGCTGCAAAGAATGTTGTCTGGTTATTTGTTCTACTATCTATCATTTATGGTGAAGTTGGAGCTTCATGTTGTTGCTGGTTGACTCGTGATGAACTTTCTGCTTTGTTTCTTGAACAGCTTTTGCAACTCAGCTCGATCATGCTGTGCCAAGTGATGTTGTTGTTGCTGGTTGATTTGTGATGAACTTTGTGCTTTGTTTCTCGGACGACTTTTGCATCGCAGCTCAATCTTGATGTGCCAAGTGATGTAGTTGTTGCTGGTTGGTTTGCGATGAACTTTGTGCTTTGTTTCTCGGACTATTGCATCGCAGCTCAATCTGGATGTGTCAGGTGATGTAATGCACTACAGTTCATGAGTGTTTCTGAGCATCGCATTCACAGTACTGGTGATCTCATGTTTCTCTGTGGATAATTGTGGAAGAAGAACATGAACCAGTCAAGACAGCTTCTATCAGTACTCCTCTTGCCTTTATTTTCCTCTCTTGTTCCTCCTTGCAGAATCTGGTTTGGGCATTTCTGCAAACACATTCCGTGCAGGCTATACGCGAGGGGGCCAGAAATGGCCCACGCTGTTTAATGGGCCAAGAAGACTCCATCGCAGTTCTGGAGGCCCGATAAGAATACCGATACTTCGATTTCTATGCCTCTTTTTACCCCCACTCTGTTTGGTATCTCTGTCGATCTCCCAACTCTTCCTCTCCTGTGTGTGTATGGAAGAAGCAACCAACCAACTCATGATGCTCCGCTACCACCGTCCCACCTAACCCTCCCGTCTTCTTTGGGTTCAGATCTCAGCTCTGGAATTCTCCACCGGATCGACTGGGGTTCCTCTTGCCCTTGGATCTTGGTGTATGGTATGATTCTGCGACAATGCAGCTGAGGGTTTCCTCCTTCGAGGACGTCAAGGAGTCGGCGCAGCCGAGGGCCGCCCAGCCCCGGGTGTTTCCGCTGCCGCTGCTCAAGATCTTCCTCCCCTTATTCGCCCTCGTCGCCGTCGGCTTCTCGGTCTTCGGCGTGTACGTGACCCGGCGCATCGGCGTCCTCCCGGCGGCGGCCGTGGGCGGCCTCTTCCGGCCCCTTTGCGTCGAGGAGCCGCCCAGCCTCGACCGCTGGGTCCGGCCTCCGGCCGACCTGATGCACTCGATGAACGACGAGGAGCTCTTCTGGCGCGCGTCGTGGGTGCCGCAGGTGAAGAAGTACCCCTTCAAGAGGGTTCCCAAGGTCGCGTTCATGTTCTTGACCAGGGGGCCTCTGCCTCTCTCTCCTCTCTGGGAGAAGTTCTTCAGAGGGCACGAGGGCCGGTACTCCATCTACGTCCACGCGCTTCCGTCTTACCAGGCCAACTTCACCTCGGCCTCCGTCTTCTACGAGAGGCAGATCCCTAGTAAGGTATCCTATCCTATACATTAAGCCATGAAAAGAATTGGAGCTTTTGTCACACGACACTCTTATGGCTCCCATTGGTTTGTCTTGTGCACCTCATCCTTCATTGCATTGTCGATCATCCATAATAATGCATTGAACTCGGAGAATTTGATTATGAGGTTGGATTTGCACAATATCCACCTACATTTAACCACATTTCGATGAAATTTAGGTAAGTTTACTTGTTCTTCAGACCATCTTTCGATCCATTTGGAGTTAAGCATAGATCCTACATGTAAGGTTGCCTTGTGCTAATGGTTCTCTTGGACTATGCTATACAAGGATGAATTGTGCTAGTGGTCTATCCGACATGGTTCTGATTATGATCTTCTAAAGATGCGTCCATGTCCAACAATGTCTACTTCATGTATATCGTGCCTACGTTCTGGTGCTGTTTGAGTTAAACTATGGTTACATGTTCAGGTATAAGTTTCCATTACTTATATGATTTGTGAGGTTGGCTTTCTAATTTAAGGGTCTTTTGTGCTCGTTATGAGATTTTGGTTCTTATGTTAGGCGACCACCTAAGTAGACCTTAAAGTGTTAGGACTTATATGAGTCCAAGTCGGTGGGTTTTTCGTTTTCTTGTCTTTTATCCCTCATCAAAGAACTGTGATAGAATCCAAGCTTTTTCAGAAAGCCATTCGATGAAGGCTTTATTGTATGGTTCAGTCAGCTAATTTCTCTCTTTTGGTTGTCTCGTACTTAGTTAAAAATTCATACCAATTACCAAGTTGAATTGCCCACAGGTCGTCAAGTGCTAACTGTCTCAAACCAGATGTATGCAAACAGTAGGTCTGACCCTGTTCTTGTAGCCTCGGTCGTTACCAACGGAGTGTTCAACTTCTGTTTATTAGTTATCAATTATTGTAGGGGCGTGTTAATAGCCTATTTGTTAATTGAGTTTAATAAAGAACTTGACAGTGGAACAGAGAGCAAAAGAAAGGGACAAAAGAGGAAGAGGGAGGAAATAAAAAAAGAAATTGATTATAGCAATTGCTGCTTCCAACATAATGCAGATTTTCAATTTCTGATGTAACACACCCTTTCTATGTGACTTGTATTGGATTTCTGTTTTTGCTTTATCCTATGACTTTTCGAAAATTTCAGGAGGAAAAGAAGTAGCTGACTGTGCCCTATTTAATTGCATCAATTTCAAAACTCAAGGACTATAGAGTTCGAGATCTTAGAAATTGGGGTTGGAAGTAGGATCATCGATTAAAAAAGAAACTTGGGATCACATCAATCAAATCTGACTACATGGATCAAAGGAATGGGTTTTGTTAATTTTTTTGACTGTTTGGTTCAAATCTTTAAAATATTGATTTATTTTATATCTGTGAAGTTAAATTTCAAGTGAAGATAATATTTTAGATATTTGTTTTTTTTTAATTCTGATGATATGATGGCTATGTAAAATTACAACTTCAGATATGTGCTATATCATGTTTTTATGATAGGCTCCATGCAATGTTTGCCTTTTATCATATATTTATATGGCTCCTACTAAATATTACATGCAATTTCATACTATGTATTTGTTACCTTCTATACAAAATTTGTAATTGTATATGATATTTGTGTGATATATAGATTGTCTTGTGCAGTATTAGGTATAATACCTAGCTATCTGACCAACAATTGGAGATCCCATCTCTTCTGCGACATATCAGGTCGACATGATCGATCCCGAGTTGAATCGGCTGATATTTGAAACCTTGTTTCAGTTCTTTTAAAAATCACAATGAAGGCCTAAGCATAGCCAAACACCCACTGGTCGTAGGGAGTGGTTGATCTTTAATTCGGCAAGCCTATTAGGTTAGATTTGAGCAATATCCAAAAAAGGTAACCTGAGTTCAGTCAAACTTTCCAAATAATTGGAAAAATAAATATTTTGTATGACTAGATAAATTTGATTTAATCTAACCCTTATTCTCTTGTACCGCATTGTACAGACTCCTTATACTTTGACTCTTAGTACAATGTAGAGTGATCAACTTATACATTGTTGTTACGGTCAGTCTTCAAAGACAGCAACTTTTATTGATTAGTTGTATGTAATAAGATTGCATGTATGAGATGGCAGGGAGTCAACATCATTTACTTAGATATCCATTATACCAGACAAATGGATCTATGAATTATCATTGAATCCAATCCAATCTCCATGCTCCTTTTGTATTAACATAAACATCTGATCGACAGGTGTCTGAGTGGGGACAGATGAGCATGTGCGATGCTGAAAGAAGGCTCCTTGCAAATGCACTACTTGATATATCAAACGAATGGTTTGTCCTGTTGTCGGAGTCGTGCGTTCCGTTGTTGAGTTTCAACATTACCTACCAGTACTTGATAAGATCAAGGTATAGCTTTGTGGGGGTGACCGATGATCGAGGTCCATATGGAAGGGGAAGATATAATGCGAGTATGGCACCAGAAGTGACCATCGAACAATGGCGCAAGGGGTCTCAGTGGTTCCAAGTTAAGAGGAAACTGGCTGTGAGCATAATCAAGGACACCACTTACTATCCAAAATTTGAGAAGTTCTGCAGGCCACACTGTTATGTGGACGAACATTACTTCCCCACGATGCTCGCGATACAATCGCCTAATCTACTGGCAAACAGAAGCCTTAGTTGGGTAGACTGGTCAAGAGGCGGCGCTCACCCAGCGACCTTCGGCAAGGTCGATGTAACAGAAGCATTTCTTAAGAGAATTATTGGGGGCCGAAACTGTTCATACAATGACCAACCTTCACGGATCTGTTACCTTTTCGCAAGGAAGTTCGCTCCAAGTTCGCTGGGGCCTCTGTTACAATTGGCACCCATTCCGCTTGGACTTGGCTAGTGGCAGCAACGCCAAGGACAAGATGTTTCAGTTTCACAAACGCTTGTCGACTCCGATTTCAGGAGATCCGTTGAAATCCAATCTATTTGAGATTCAGAAAGCTTCTTTCGGTAGCGAAACCATGTATAGTGTTTTTCTTCTTTCTTTTGACACAGTCCTTGTCACAATTTTTCTCTGTATAGCAAAGAACCAATTATTCGTTTTACACTATGTAAGTCGCCGGGTTTCATGTGCATGAAACAATTTCTTTTGATATGTAACTTACTTTTTTCCTCAGCATATGCTTTTTGTCCAGTTTCCAGTGAGCTTTTCAGGATTGTAAAATTGATCTGCCCCATGCCATCCGATACAGTGATTTCCAACTTCTCATCATAAACTATATTCTCGAGTGTTGAGCTCGATGCTTTTGCAAGGTGATTCACAACACATCTTCCATACCCAACTAGTTTTGATCCAGTTTACTTGGCTTAACTTTGTGTATCAGAAGCAAAGCAAACGCTATCTTTATTCCTTGGATTTGTCTCCAAGTGTGTTCCTTATAATACCTAAGAGACCAAAATTCCATTCCGGAGTCCTTTGTTTCCCCTCACTGTGACATCACACACCCACATTGGGATTCTTCTACGAGTGTTGCACGCACGCACGCATCTCTTTCCGAATTCTTTGGGCCCATTCATTGCTTGCACTGATTCTTTAAAGCATTCATGGTGGCTGTCAGATGTCAACTAGAAGAAAGGTGAGTTAGAAGACACCACCATATTTCTACTTGGTTTTGTGTTCCTTCATGGCTTCCTAGTAGTATCTTGTTCGTCTTCCCGAGGATTCTTCCTCAGGTGTCTCATGCACTTCTGCAAATGAATTGCCGCCAGCTTATCGGGATTCGAGTCGGCATGCTCGGATTCCCAAATTGGCACTTAATCTCCACGGAGGAGACGGTCGTCATCGATCCCCACTTTGGGATGGATGGATGGATGCGTTTGCCCAACTCGCCTTCCAATAATAACCACAGGATGGAACCAATGGAGGAGTGCGAGCTTCGTCCTGCCCAAGGTGGAATCCAGCTTCCAAAGCGATTCCATCGACGGGATTTGGTTCTCTTCCCTACAGTCAACCGGCGTGATGCATGGTGAGGACTTCCCCGCCGTCTCGGGATTCTTCTGGCACAGTGATGCAGGTAATCCTCCGCTGCACCCACCTTCCTCCCTCTCCCTCGATTCGACTGCTGGAAAGATGCATCGACCACAGCAAAAGGTGAAAGCGATGGCGGCCTGCAATTGGAAGACGATGTTTCCAAGACTTGGACTCTCGGACAAGCACGTTAGCATCTTCGGATGGAGTAGTCATGCTGGCTCATTAACAATGGCTTCTCCTCACGTTTCTTCTGCTGAGCGCAGCCCCTTTCGGTGTTCGACAGCATGTGTTGCATGATTTGTTAGATGGTTACATGCACGTCATGATCACTTGGCTACGTACGTCAATGGCAGGGCTGGAGGTCGCTCAACCAAACAGTTAGAAGGCGAAGGTTTAGCTTTGGTTATTGATAGAGAGTACACAATTAGTCAATCGTCATATTTAACATGAAAGAAGAAGAGGGAGCCACCTTCTACCCATTTATCAATGTGAATAAGGATTCGAGACAGATAATTATGAATTATTATTATTTTATTACCTGTATGGATAAAAAGATTATTAGAATCGAGTAAAAAATATCTTTCACATAATATTTAATGAAATATTCTATCGTTTTACAATCAAATATAAAAGTTCGGGATCATCTTTTTAACTATTTATATCCACACTTATATATTTCAAGTGTGATTGGGTTGGAAAATCTCTCCCAACCTTAATCTTACAATTTGGAAGTTTGATAATTCTATCTTAAAAACACTTTGAACAATTCTGCACTCAGAGTAATCAAGACGTCAATGACTTTTTCCCCTACGAAATGCTTAGTGTTATACTAATGTTCTATTTAAACTCATTTAATAATATAACATATTTAATTTTAAAAAAAACTAGGTAAGCTATTTAAGATTTATATGCATATTTATTTCCTTTTGGCAACTATGAAACATAAAAGGAAGTCCTTATTTTTTTTCATAATTTTTTAATTATATAAAAGACATTGAAACTTTGGTCTCCTAACCCTTAGGGTTACGATATAGGAGATGTGATACACACTTTTATTTTATCAACGTTTTAATTTCATATGACGAACACCCTATTTCCATCTTACATACATGCCATCATCATTTGGTTGATGCGTCGTTGTTAATAGGGATCAATGAGGATATCAACGTGAGAACAATTATGCAACCTTAATAGAAAGATTAACTTGATAGATTGTTACTCTATAGATCTTGTTCGATCCTCCTACTATGGACGAATGATGCACATAATTATTTATGGATTGACTATGATCTCAACCCAACCATTAGCTACCATATTATAAAAATATTTTTGATTATGGACGATTGAATATACTTATTTATTTCGATGATAAATCAAATCACTTAAACTCTTACTAAATTATGCATCATAGGGGTCTTATTAGGTATATCCCCAAAATAATTTTCGTTGAATCCCTTAATTTTTTGACACCTTAACTTAGAAGTTTACCTTCGATCGGCTTTCGGATAATGATAATTATAAAATCATTTAATAATTTAAATGTTGGAGAAATTTCGTGATCATAAATTCACATTAACGGTAGGAAACAAAATACTGAAAAATATCACACTAATATGAATGAAATGATGATTAACTTAATTAATAAAAACTTTGACAGATTATCTTAAGAGAAATACACGGCTATAGCCGTCTACTTCTACTGCGTCTCAAAACAATGAATCATTTAAAAAACGAGTTGACTTTCGATTTCCTGTGGTTGACCAACAAAAATCCTCCTTCACCCATCAATCGCTGCCGTATGGTTTGACTTTTCGAACTCTGTCGCATCTGTCATCTTTATTATTGTGATCATAGAAAACATGCTTCCATTAGATTTCTCTCCCAAAGTTAATGCGAGACTTTGCATGGCCATCGTGGGTCAGACTTCCTACGTGGCTTCCATTAGATTTCAATCGCGTCGCCGTCCATTGCAGTTTCCTTGTACGAGAGGAGTCGATTCGATTTGATTTAGGGGGGTCAAAATAAACGAACCAAATTACTCTAATTTTAATTACATTATGGTTTGATTTTAAACCGTGAAAGTGACGAGGGTAATAATTGTGACATTAGCTGCCCCAGATGATGCATCATGTCTCTGTTGACCTAATGAGGCACCTGGTCAACATAGACCGGAACGTTTACTAAGGTGCATTAATACCCTATTCAAGGTCGATCCCTCACGCCACGCCAACAGCGATGTCAGACGCTACGAGAAGTACGACCCTGCTCCCTGCGGGCCAGCACATCAGACAACGGTAATTCTCACTATAAAAACCCTCGTGCTCCGGAGGAAAAAGAAAAAAGACAACTTAGCTAAAGAAAACCCCCTATGCGACTATCCACTAACTTGATCATCGGAGGGGTCAGGTCGAGCTCCCCGACCCGACCTTTGCGCAGGAGCGAAGGCAGAGGTCGTGCATTAAACGCTCAGGCGACCCCGTCCCGATCGGATCAACGTAATCGGCCACCTCAGTAGTCACAGAAGACGTCCCAAGAAGATCCCCTATCATTCGGACTTGAACTAAGCCGCGACGACCCCTAGGCCACAGCTTGAAGTTGTTTACACCAACAGAAAGCATAATTTTTCTTATAATTTTAAAAATTAAAAAATAAATATATTTGACAATAATTTTTGTGTGAGATGAAATCATCTCAGTAGCCTTAAATTTGGTGGTGGGATGGATGCATTGTATGGCAATATCTCATGAGATGTGTCCATTCATTCATCCGGAATACTTCTGCATTAACGACACATGGAAAGCAAGTAATAAGGATTGAGACGACGGAACGCAAACGCCCCGAGCCGCCATAAATATCGCGCTTCCTTCCCCTCCGACGATTCCCACTGCTGCCGTGAGCTCGGAGACGGAGCTCAACTGTAGTCGCCATGGCCTTGCGCAGAGCCCTTCCCCACCGTTTCCTTAACACCGCCAAGGCCTCCTCCTACACCCAGTCCCTAGCTCCACCTCTCCGCTCCTCTTCCTCCGACGCCTCGCCGTCGCTCCTTCCCAACGCGATCTTCCTGTACCATCGCCCGGTCTTCCGTACCCCCGTCGGCGTCGAGCTGGTCGACCGCGTCCAGGGCATCGGATCGGGTCGGATCCGCCTGGAGGGGCTGTCCCCGCCGCCTCCTACACCGCCGGATGTGGTCCCGGTGGCGGAGGCGAGGAAGGTTCTGCGGGCGGCGCAGATGGAGGCCGTCCGGACGAGGCTTAGGGGGCTCGGCCGGAGCTGCGTCTCCTACGCGGAGTTCTCCCGGGTCTGCGGCGAGGTCCCGGGCGTCGAGAGCGACGTGGGGCTCGCGAGCGCCTTGGACACGTCCGGCGCCGTCCTCGTCCTCGGGGACGTCGTCTTCGTCCGCCCCGAAACGGTGGGCTTTCTCCTTCCTTACGTCAGCTTTCGTCACAATAAACAAAGAAGCAAATAATAAAAAGCAGAAAAGAGGATGCATTTCATCAAACAGAATACCAGCATTCGTATGTATGTATCCCTCTTGACTCGCAATGCGCTCGACGTGTTCGACACCGATCTCTTCCAGGTAGCGCAGGCGATCGAGAGCATGATTCCGGCGCCGTTGGCCCAGCGGAGCGAGGCGCGGGCGAAGGAGCTGAAAGAGATGGAAGCGAGGAAGGTGTCGATCGACGCCGAGGCGGCGGCGCTGGTGAAGCGGGAGATGCGGTGGGGTCTGGGCGTGCTGGCGCTGCAGACCGCCGGCTTCATGCGGCTCACCTTCTGGGAGCTGTCGTGGGATGTGATGGAACCCATTTGCTTCTACGTCACCTCCGTCTACTTCATGCTCGGATACGCCTTCTTCCTGAGGACGTCGAGGGACCCCTCCTTCGAGGGCTTCTTCCACGCCCGCTTTGCCGCGAAGCAGAAGCGGCTCATGAAGACCCACAGCTTCGACATGGACAGGCTTAATGAACTCCGGCGAGGAGCGACGACGCCGGCCAAGGAGTCGTGTGACTGTCATCAGAGGATCGACTTCGTCGAGCCTGTGCATTAACTCTCAATCGATGCGTCCTGTTCTTTCTATTGCACCGTACAGCTCGAGCAAGCAGTGCATCTCTCTCTTTCTCTCTGTGAAATCAATGTAAGCCGCAGCTTTGCCGCAGCAGCAGCATCACGTACTCGAGTGTTGTTCCCTTGACGCAACAGAAGCTGCCTGCCATTGATATGTGCATGAGCTCCGGAATTGGGAGCACAGAACGTACGCATCAAACATTTCAATGGTTCTCGGATCTTATTCTCGTGGCCTTGTGTGGGATATATGTCTCGACCACCGTCCACGAAACAGAGGCCAAAGAAAGTACTACTACTTGCTGTTCGTTGGCCATCAAATTAGGCTGGCGAGCTTCTGCTAGAATAAATTCCTCATGTCCACGAGATCGTTCGAGAAGTACCAAAAGACAAGCAGGACAAGGAGATTACTGTTAGATTTTAAACTCACCAGATGAGGAGACTCTCTTCTTAGAGAGAGATTCTGTGGAGAGAGAAACCAAGAGGAAGGAGAAAGAAGCAGAACGGTAAGGAAGTCGATTTCTCTCTCACCTTCTTCTCCATAGAAAGTCTCACCGATGCAAAACCAAAATGTCTGGGTGGTGTAGTTGGTCATCACGCTAGTCTCACACACTAGAGGTCCCCGGTTCGAACCCGGGCTCAGACATTGATACTTGTTTTTGCATTTACGTTATTATGCATTGGTCAAATTTATACCAATATTTTCTTCAATAAAATGATTATTGAATCAAAAGAATAATTCTGCTGTTAGTAGTCTGAATCACTTTGTAGTCATTGATGTCTAAATATTGGACAAAAAATTGATTTATACACAGCATTCATGCATATAATTTCAGGATCTAATAACTCATGAGGTTCTCAAAGTAAAGCACTGCAGCACCCATGCAACTGCACTGTGAGGCTACAAGCCACCGAAACTCCATAAACAAAACCACATCCATGTCTACTATGCAAAATGATCAATAGAATATAGGTTGCCATTGCCTACCTACCACATTCAACAATCACAACATGCAATATGGAAACAACTAGTGAAATGGGACAGCAATTGCCGAGGTCAGCAACAGAGGACCCACATACATCAACTCAAGGTGGAAGAGTTTAGAGGTACAACAACAGTTTACCAGCTTAACATTATTCTGTATAACGCAATGACTACTGTATAACGTAATGCAGTACATGCAGCGCAGCTTGCTTCGATGAACAACAAATCGTTCCAGGTCTTGTCTCGAGCTATACTAATTGCAAGGGTTCTTCGTGTTTGATGTCGAAGATCTTGACCAGTGTTTCCTCCACAGCCTGCTTACACCAGATGAGAATGTTACTAAAGGCACTCAGAAAGATGTGTTTACAAGGTTTTCTAACAATGGTTTACAGTTTGGGGCAATTAACCGATGATAGACTGGAATATAAGGTCTCAGAAAATATTTCAACCTGCAAAATGCTGAGAATTGCAGAAGCAGCATCTTAAGTTGGGAAGAAAGAAGGGCCCTTCAAGAAGGAAATATCATCAGAAGTGCTAGTGATTTTCTTGAAATATAACTTCCTTCCGGTACCCAAGACCACAACAAACTTGAGCAAGATTCTGAATTTTCATGGAGCTTTAACTATGGGGGATCATTTTGTTTCTTGTCCTTTTGGTTCTGCACCATGCCTATGAGTTTTCTGCATGCAATCATTTTAGCATGAATAGCCTCTCACGTTCGGAGCCATTTTCCATAATTATATGGAAGGGAAACCTATGTTGTTCTTATTAGAGACATTTAAGCATTAACAAGACAGTAGACTATGTTTAAGAATCCATTTTTTACCAAAATAAGGTAGGGAATATAAGTATGTAGATATTGATCATTTCACTCTATCAAGATGATAGTTCCTAAATGACTTCTGTGCAATTGTTGCTTATTAAGAAGTCCCAAGTCTCAAAGTCTTCCATTTTGATGAGTTGGGTAAACCTCCTCACATCACCCAGAATAATGCCAATACTGACGAGAAATAAATCGCCATCATAGAGGCAAAGAAACTGGCAACTAAACTTTAGAAAATTCAACTAAATTTGTGACTTTATGCAATTGATGGATTCACCTCTAGCATGGTTAGACTCCAAGGCGAGGAAATCTCTTCATGACTAGTATACTAAAACAACTGTTTAACACCTGAGATATAATTCATCTAAATTACCTTGTCAGGAGTAGAAGCACCTGAGGTCACTCCAATTGTTATTGGACCGGAAGGTAACCAATTTTCTTTCTCAACAAGTTCTCCATGCTGCTGACACAGATAGACAAAGTCATAACGAATTATAGTAAAGAAGTCCCACAGCTAAAAGCCATACAGTAGAATAAATCTAATATAAAACTGTAACTATAAAACTTACATTTAACTTATAACTTATCCTGTTTCCTGGTCCAATTCTCTGCTCACTGTCAATCCAATAAGATGGAATTCCCTTGAGCTCAGCAATCTCTTGTAGATGTGAAGTATTACTGGAGTTCCATCCACCAACTACTAGAATTAGATCAAGTTTCTCTTCCACCAGCTTGTACATAGCATCTTGTCTTTCCTGATACCTCACAGGTTATGTTGCAAGAGGGAAATAACATCAGTAATAAATAATTTCAAGAAAATCGCATAAAGAGTTATTTATCATATCTAGCAACTTGCTTCCAAACAAATACAGAAGAGAACTAAGGTAAAATCCAACAAGAAAATCCGCACGCACGCACGCACGCACGCACGACGCACGCACGCACCACGCATGCACCACGCGCGCGCGCACGCACGCACGCACGCACGCACCACGCACGCCACACGCACGCGTGCGCGCGCGCGCGCACGCACGCACACACACACACATATTTGTGTGTGTGTGTGTGAGGAACAACAAGAAACTCACAAAGCAACTCAAAGTGATTTGAGATATGGCACTCTCCATGATTTCTTGTTCAAATCATACAAGAAAGCAGTCAAAATTAAGTGGATTTTTGTTAAATAACTGATGTAGGAATTCTCCACAAAATAGCCCAGCATATTTATTCGTGGTATTATATCTATGTAGCATCCAAATTTTTATCCTGGCTATGACATGCATATCTCATCCTTATCTCACCAATCAATTGTCTTTACTTGCAAAAAATTAGGCCAAGAACCCCAGCTTCCTTCACAAAACATAGTAAAAATTTGTCCATAAATCAATGAAAATGTTAGGTAATATTATAAAGCAGAGAACAAAATTCCTTATCACTGGAATAGTAGAGAACAAGTGAAAAGGAATGACTTTAACTATATGACAAGGGAAAATTGGCTTAGCAGATTCAGTAAAGTTCCCCCTTAAAAAAAAGGGAATTCAGCAAAGTTACCTGAGTGGCATCACAAATGGTGTTGAAGCTAACAAAGTGCTCATTGATGTTCTCCACTCCATATTTTCTCATCATGGTCTTCTCAACCAGTTTACCTGAAAACTCAAAAGTGTTACATTCGAGTGGAAACATGAAAAGGTAAATAAAATAATAAGCATCAGATGCATATTAGCTCACCAATTTCCTCTGTTTCACCTTTGAGCATGGTAGTTTGATTTGCAATACCTACTCTGACTAAGTCAACATCAGGATCAAATCCCGCAGAAACCGCATACTTGAATTTCTAAAAGTTCAAATGTACATTTGTAAATTTGACCTTTCTTTTGCACCAATAAACTAAAAGAAAGAGCAAAATATACCTGAAGAAATGCTTGTTTTGTTGAGCTAGATCCATCCAACTCCCCACCAAAAATGTAATCACATACGTACAGTGCCTGTTTTGGCAGTTTGTTACATCCAATGTCTCATTTGTAAATACAATTAATATCAAGAAATTCAGTTAATGGAGCTAGTACCTCAGTCATGTTCTTCACAACAATATATTTTCCTGCAAATGAAGCGGTTGTAATGGTCTCTTCATGTGAATATTTGCCATGTATAATTGAAGTATAATCACCCTTCTTGTGCTTCTCAACAGTGTTCCAGACCTTTATGCAAAGTAAGACATAGTAAAAATGCACAACAAATTGAGAAGGGGGAATGAATCTTCGATCCTCTTTTTCTCTGCCAGAAGGAAATTACCTTCGACACCCATGGACAAGTAGCATCAACTAACTGGACCTTCTTTTGACTCAAGGTAAACATCTCATCAACAGCAGCTCCAAATGCTGGCAAAATCACGATGTCACCCTTATCAACAACATCAAATTGTTTCTTGCCATCATCAACGGGAATGTCTCTGACTTCCATCTCTTTCAACCTCTGCAGAGATAGAACAGAGAATATTTTATATCAAGATACGGAAATTTCCTCTAAGCACCACTAATACAGAAATTTCAACCTCGGAGCTTTCTTTTTATGTTGAAAGAATCATAATGTATTCAGGATTGAGCTGAAGGCACATTAGGTTATTTAATATTCGAGCTTAGCATGACTATTCTCATATTTAATCTTTCTTTAATGTTTCCACCAGTTTGCTTTTTCCACATACTTGAGCAAAGGAATATTGGGGGTAAATTGGACTTCCTATTCCTTCCAAATCGAAGGTCCCGTTAAAAAGACTAAAAGATTGATATAAAGCATAAGGAATTCTTCAAGATATAGGATATCAACAGAAAATGAATAGAGAATTCCAATACTCAAGCTCGAATCTTGGAACAAGATTCTCACTTTTATCATACCAAACCTTGTTGACCATCGGATTGTGGATGATTTCATTGGTGATCCAAATCCTCTCTTCAGGGAACTGCTTCCTCGCCTCGTAACCAATCTGAACCGCTCGCTCCACTCCCCAGCAGAATCCAAACGCCTCCGCCAGCTTCACCGTCACGTCGCCCCATGTGTACTCGTTGTTGTTCTCCTTCAGCGTCTTAATCACATCACCTGCAATACCGAAACCCTAATGCCGATCAGAAAGTTTTAACACAAGACAGCCCCAATTTCTTCACCCATTCACGACGCCAATTCGCGTTCCAGCAAATTCTCATCTTACTAGTGTATTGCTGGTTCATGAGTTCGAGGGTCTCCTTCTTGTGGCCGAACCCGCGTCGGTTGTACTTCTCGCTGCGGGTGAGGTTGTGACGGAAGGCCTTCTTGTCGAAGTCCAAGTTCGCCTCGAGAGCGTCGCCTTCGGCCCCGCCGCATCGGATGGCGAGCGACGGCCTTGCGCCGACCGTCGATCGGACTCCGGAGGAAACAACGAGGCCGGGGAAGAACCGGCTGAGATGCATCGGCATGGCCATCACAGTAGGTGAGCAAGCTGACGAGGGTGGGCGACAAGAGGTACGCGCGGAGTGGAATGTGACGCCCGTCCGCAATTTATCGGCTCGCCTGCCACATCCCAATTCCTAAAGCATTCCCCAATCGTTTTAATAGATCCTTTTTTAACGGGCTATCGGGCGAGCGTGTTAACGGGCTAACTGAATGCTAGTGAACGGCTCCGATCACATTGAAGAATCATCTGGATTACGTGTCCTGATCCCAATAGCTCGAACGCTTCAATGTCCCATCGAAGGATTCGGGTTGGTCGCGTCGATGTCACCACCAAAGGCCGCGCAATTGATGCATCGGGTACAAATGTAGGTCCTCATACTAACAATTATTTTCGAGTCGAATAAATAGGACATAATTTATTGTGATTTATTAATAATGATAGCATATTTGAATAATACGGTGGTCTGATTTACTTATAAGATTAAAAATTCAAAATTTTATTCGATATATTTTAAATTATTTGAACGTGTCCAACAGTGACACGTCTTGAGTTCGATGTATTTTGAACGTGTCCAACGTTGATATGCCTTGGTTTGAATCTTCTTTTCCATGTCATGTCTTGAGTTAAATGTATTTTGTACGTGTCCAGCGTTGATGGACATATCAGTACCGTCCCACGTTGGCATGTCGTGAGTTCCGTGTAGTTTGAAGGTGTCCCGACGTTGATAGATATATCGTGACCGTCCATCTAACAAGTAGAATGTGGGACCCATCATCGCTGCGGGTGACGGCCTGCGGCAACCTTCTCGGCTCCCACCGCCGTAACGCCTCTCTTCCGATCGGAAAGATAACGATAACCGATCGAACAACAACAAGAAGAGGGGAAGCGAGGAAGAAGAATGGAGGTCCCGTCGGCACGGTGTCCATCTCGCGCAGCTCGACCCCCCTCGAGTTCTTGGGGGAGGGGTCTCCCGCCGATCCGTCCGCTTCCCTAGGAAACCCTGGAGGAGCCCTCGCGATGGAACCCCTCGGTCCCTCCGTTTCGACCCTCGGGGTTCCGGTATCTGGCAGTCTCTTCTTGCTAAGTTTCCCTTGTTGATTCTATTTGGATGGGTTTCTGATTCTTGGTACTCAAGAGCTGCTGCTTTTGCGTGGGTTTCATGCCGACTCCTTCGTGAATGGGTCTTGATTGAGTCTTGGATCTCTTCTGGAAGCTTGAGAAGGTACACGAGCGGGAATTGGCGTGAAACATTTTGTTAGCTAGCTACAATGTTCTGTGTTTTCGCGTCTCGACTTCTTGAAACCCTTGGTTGGGTCTTGTTACCTAAGCATCTAAAGGTTAAGTAGTTGCTAGCTAGTGGAACCATCAACATGTTAAGGGTTTTTTCCAATTTGGTTGAGATTTCAATTATCTTGATGAGTTCTTGAGAGGTGATCTTCAACAAGAAGACTAGAATTGCAAACTACCAAGTAAAAAGGCAAAAAAGTGTTGATTGAGTAGCTATTTCTGTCACTTTGTTTTGATCAATGTTATGTCGTAGGATCCACTCAAGCTGCAACTTCATCTATTGCCCAGACAGAGGAAGCTAGTGAACAGGAACGAGTCTTCAAGGATAAAGATCTCATGTTTGCCGACGACTCAACTGGAAGAGTTGGTTCACTTCTTGTGAGGTAACGTCCTACTGCCTCTTTCACCATTGATACAACATAGACATAATATCTCTCATATACAATTTGGAAAGACAATAAATATTTCAAAATTTTGTCAGAGAGCTTCTGAAACTTGGATTTCGGGTGCAAGCGGGAGTTAGGAGTGCTCAAACAGCAGAATCACTGAGGCAGGTAGGAGATGGGTGCTTCTAACTGTGCTAAATGATTTTTACTCTTTATGGTAAGACAAGCTTGAGAACCCTAACTTCTCTACTGCATCTGCATTCTGAAGAGTGTATGCCAAATGAAGCTTAATATTGGAACCGGAACCTCAGGAACTGAACGTAAGATACAAATACTCTAGATTTTTAAGTAAGCTTGAGATTATTTCATCTTTTTATTTTCAGCTGCTATATAATGCCGGTAATAGATGTCCTTTGACTTGTGGACC